ACGCCGGGGATTCGCTTCCCGCAGGTCCGCGCGCTGGCAGTGTCGCCGGACGGCAAGATCATCCTCTCCGTGGGCGACGGTCCAGCGCTGCGCATGTGGACGCCTGCTGGGTGAGAAGCCGGCCCTACAAACCTCATCCCATGTCACCTCCTGCAGCTCTGCGTCTTAGTCATTCTCGGGCCCTGGCTGTTGATGGTCGTAGCCCCTGCCTCCTTGCTGTATGTGTAAGGCAGCAGATGCACGCCTATGTGTGTTGTTAGCTCTTAACGTATCTTTGCCGCGGCATCCCTGACGGCAACTTGCGCCAGGTTGAACGCTAACCAGGGAGAGGCCGGGCAAGCGGGAAACGACAGCATGATGCTCGCCACACTAGAGGCGATGCTGTCGCAGCCAGAGGAGACCAGCAGCACCGCACCCGCTGCGACAACCTTGGGCACGTTTGTGGACTCGTCGATGGTTGATGCGGCAGGATCGGGGAAGCAATGCGATCTGGCGCAGATGTGGTCGACGGCGAAGTTTATGCAGCCCGTGGTATGCCTGCGACTACCTTAGTGCGTGTCATCCGCGTGTGCGTTGAATTGTGTTCCCTTGCTCATATAATGAGGTTTGTGCGCTGTGCCGCAAGTTGCTTGGTCTTGGTCCTCCATAGGCTGAGCTACAGTCGTCTGTGACTGTGGAATGTGTTTTCTGCAACGTCTGTGACTGCAGGAGAAGCCGCACACCAAGACCATTCGGTGCGTGGTCTTTTCGCCAGACGGCTCGTTGGTGAGTATCTTGACGGTGGGAATGGGCGGGATAAGGCCATTGCTGGTTGCGACACGACTGAGAAATGAATTGAAGCAGGTTTCCGGCTCCATGGGGATTGCAAAGGCCGGCCTGCTAAGCTTTGGACACTGCTGCTTTAACTTAAGTCGACGAGGCTGGCAAAGTGGCAATCATATGTTATCATGGCGCAGCCGATCTGTATGCTAAGCTAATATTCATTACATGTTGAATCGTTGGTTGCTCATTTTATCTCGCGCCGGCATGGGGGTTGTGATGGCGAATGCCTAACATCCGTCGGCACCGCCCACAACCATCTATGCAACTAGGTTTAGGCTTGGGAGTAATAATGCCCTGGACGGGCACGTGCAATCAGTTCTGACTCCACTGCAGCTTGAGCTAGTGCCAGCCTCTTCTTGGCACATGACAGCCAGCGCTTCGGTGTACCAGTTGGACCAGGGCTCGCCCCCAATGAATGTAACAACGCCGTTGTACGGCAGACCGTTACAGAACTCATGACCAGTGCCTTTTCCGGCAGCAGTGTTATTACCGCCAGAGTGCCATTATTTCCATGGATTTCCATGCCTGACCTATCATGCCGTTTGTACCTGTATTACACCCTTGGCCCGCAGTTCGCAACGGCGTCTGATGACGACGCAAGTACCGCCGCCGCGCTGTGCATATGGGAGACCAAGGGCTTGCGCAAGCAGGCTACTCTGCGGGGCCACATTAACAGCGTGAAGTGCGTCGCATTCTCCACCCGGCAAATTAAGCTCACCAGCAGCAATACGGGCGCTCTCGTGAAGGGTACTGGTCCGCCCACTCAATATCTCCTGGCATCGGGGTCCGCGGACAGGTGCGGGTGCACGAATACAGTCAGTATTTATTGTATGTATTAGCGAAAATTTCTCAAAAAACGCACATGTTGCATTTGCGCACCGCGCCACAATGCACGTACAGGAGCCGGTGTCCTGTGGCACTGATGCACGGCACCGCGAACCCCCAAACATGCAGATATCCATGCTTCTTCTGCTGAGCCTGCATCCTCCTGCATAGTGCTTGGAGTCTTCCACGTCTCATACTGTGTTTCTATCCAAGTTTCGCGCCTGCAACAAGCATTCTATGTGTTCTATGCCTGCCACGTTCAGTGGCCATTTCCTTGCATGTTTCGGCTTATAAAACCTGTAACTGGCATGGTGGCGAGCAAAACCCTGACAAGACGTGTACCTTGGCGTGGCTTTCTCTTGTTTCATTTCCTGCACAGGACTATACGGCTCTGGTTCACCATTCCGGCCAAGATCGACGTGGGTGGACATGAGAAGGAAGTGTGGGATGTGCCCAACCCAACGCTGCAGGTAAGAAATTGGCAGCTCACGTCAAGTTTTTGCTGCTGCAGCTGAAAAAACGTAGCGTGTCTGATGGACTGTACCGCTTTACGGCCAGGGCCATACCGCAACGGTGCGCGCGGTGGCGTTCAGCCCGGACGGCATCAAGATGGCCTCTGCTGGCGAGGACCGCACCGTGCGTCTCTGGGGAGTGGCGTCACGGCAGCAGCTGGCGGTGTTCCATGGCCACAACGCGGCCGTGGTGGGGCTCACCTTCGACACGCCGGATGGCATGGTGCTGGCATCTTGCTCGGGCACCGAGGTCCGGTTGTGGGACACCAACAATTACCCGCAGGTTCGCATGCTGTGCAGTAACATTGCGTCGTGCTGCTGGTGCTGGACGTTTAGAGTCTTGTACTGATTCAACTTGTACAATATTGCTGTCGATGGGGTTGCCGGCATTGGTCGGACTGGCACCGTATCTTCCCCTCGCTGCTGCGCAACCCTTTTTCTCCGGTCGTTTGCCATGTGCCGGAGCTCTGTCATACAGGGCGCAACCCGGGTGCATGTGTGTGTATTATTTAGGGACGCCACCTGTGCGCATGCGTGTGTTACACCTCAAGCTGCATGAGTTACATGTTTATGAATTGTATGGCTTGCATCAGAGCATGCATGCATATGCGTCCCCCGTCCTGCAGGTGACGGTTATGCATGGCCACGAGAGTGGAGTCAACACTATCGCGTTTACCTCCGACGGGAAGGTGAGAAGCAAAAGGAAGCATGTCTGTCACTGGATAGATCTCGGGTCGCGGAGACAGTAGACAGCTGTTTGACTCTGCACACACGGCGCATGGTGTTGCATTACGACTTCAGAAAAGTGCCGATCGGAGGATGTCAGAATTGTGATACGCCCAGGATACAACACATGGAAAGATAGCGCTTTGCATTTTTAAGGAAACTTCAACTGCAAAGAAGTGTTGTTAACTGCGTACTGCTTTTGATTGCGCTTATTGCAGTACCTCGCGTCCGGCAGCGATGACGGTACCTTGGTCCTCTGGAACGACCACGGTGATAACAACTGGGTCAAGGCAAGTCCGACGGCGGCAAGCCTCATGCGCCGAGTTAAAGCTATCCCTTTGCTTTGCCCTTTTGTTTCGTTCCAGCGCTCCGTGACGTTTGTTGCGATATGTGTTTCCAGTTTCCTAGTGTAATTGCGTCTGTGCTCAGAAAACGCGTCTCTCAAGCCGTTCGTCCAGCATAGTCCCCGTGTGCGCGCGACGCAAGTGTTGTGGCTTTGGGGATGGGGGTATCGAGCAGTTAGTTGCGGGGCTGACCTTAGCGCAACCACTCCCTTTGTGTGTCAAGTATTATGCTGGTGGGTGTGTGGGTGTGTGCAAAAATGCTGCGCAGGCCAAGGCAATACCCCGAGATGACACGGGCAAGCAAGGCCACGCGGGCAGTATTATCGCTCTGGCATTTAGCCCCGCAGACGAGGACACTGTCGCGGGCCCAAAAGCGGCCAATGGCGTCCGTCTGCTTGCCACTGCGTCTGCCGACAAAACCATCCGCCTATGGGCGGTCAGGGTAGGTTAAGCACTGCACCACCGTTACTGGGTTTGATGTAGAATCGCTACATCTCGAAACGTCTGCCTTCCAAAATGGGAAGGTCATACACCGGCTCAGACACTTGTGATGGCGTAAAGGGAAGGCTTTATGCTATGTATCATATTCGAATTTATGCACTGCATTACGCCGTTCTGTGTCTATGTCAACGTAATGCAAAACAGGAGACCAAGAAGTTCACGATGGCGATGGCGCGAGCAATGAATGGACTGCTGCTGCGCCATGCGCTGAAGCCTTTGCCACCTACGGGCGATTTACCCATGTCGGGAGCAGTGAGTATATATATCAGCGGCCGAGGGGTGCCGCGTGTTACATCTATTTCTTTCTGTGTTGGTCTATCGGATGCGGCTATGTATGCGGGTTTATGAATTGTTTGGGTATAGTGTGAACACAAGCATCTATGCCTGAACGCTACGCGACGTACCCTTGGCTGGGGCAGACCGGGGCCTGCGCTCCATATGGCTGCCCTCCTTGGCACTGCAGGACGTGGATGACTCAATGCTGGTGGAACAGTTGAGCGTGACGCAGGGACATGATGGCAGGTGCGGTCGGCGAGTCGGAGGCGAAGTCACCTCTCTTTCCTGTCCTTGTACCTGACGTGTTACTACTGCTACTGTATTTCATTACCCGAGACCAGAGGCCCTCAATACCGGTGTTCAGCCAGCTTCTACCCGCGAACCGATTGGCACATTGCATATCTTGCTGTCCTCACACCGCAATAGTAATCCGTTATCTCGCATACGCCGTTAAGGCTCTGCCTTTTGGCCGTCTGACCTACTCGCAGCGTCCGCGCGATCAGCTTCAGTGCCGACGGGACACTGCTGGCGACCGGCAGCAACGACCGCACCGTGCGCCTGTGGTACTTGGTGCCAGCAGCGGACGGCTCCAGCGAGTCGATTTCACCATTCGTGGTGTTATCGGTAAGGCCGATCCTTCAGCATCTTAATCTCCGGATAGTGGGAGTACGATAGTGAGTCATACATACTCGAGCTCTGCACTGGACTTTGCGTGCGTCCATGCATGAATTAGACAGTCAAGGTGTCCTCATGCTGCTGGGAGTTAGACCTTGGCCCCAGAGCCTATACATGTATGCGGTAGCTTTTCCAATCCGTTTCCTTAACTGGGGCGGATGTCTACATGTCTATATATTCCATACATCTGAATATCGTGCAGGGCCACACCGACGTGATCCGCTGCGTTGCCTTCAGCCCGGTCGCCTCCAGCCGCCTGATGGCCAGTGCCAGCGAGGACCGCACCGTGAGGTTGTGGCATGTGGCGGCGGCGGGGCACGGCACCAGTCGGCTACACTGCGAGCTGCGCGGCCACGACTCCTGGGTCATATGCTGCGCCTTCAGCAGTAATGGAAAACGTATTGCGACGGCATCGCTGGTGAGTCAAGAATGCTACTGAATTGCGTGTGATCCCCAGGTCTAGCACTCGATACGGGTCTACCGGCGCACTGCAAAAGTAGATATGGCTTGTGCATTGCAGCTTTGGGAGCATTTTTTGGGAGCATTGACACTGACGTTTGTTTGTGGGACCCATGTGTGCGGTGCGGTGCAGGACAAGACTGTGTGTATCTGGAGCACCATAAATGGTAAGCACCTGCTTAGAGATTTATGGCTTGCGCGATCTTCTCCCTCCAAAGCTCCACTTCTTTGATACCTGCGGCCATTGCGGCCACGAGGTGGCCTGGAAGTAAACCCTTCTTTGCCTCATGGTCGTGCGTCCTTTGCCTCAGGCGATCAGCAGCTAGTGCTCCGGGGCCACTCGTCGGGCGTCACGAGCGTCGCCTTCTCGCCTGACTCCATGACCCTGGTGTCCGGCGGCGCAGACAACAGTGTACGGCAGTGGAACGCAAGGACCGGGCAGCAGCTGGCCATGATGCAGGTGCGGTGCCCTGGCTGGGTGGATCAGGTTATTATTCTCTCATCGGCGCTTTGGCCATGTTCACTTTAACGTCCACGTTATGCATTGTGCACCTCGGGAGTGTAGACCTCAGGAACTTTTTGAGAGACCTCGTCATTAGACAAGCCTGGAGAAGTAGTTATGTCCGATGCCGATACCGAATGATGCTTGGGCCGACGTCTCGGGCAGCTCCAAGTAGCAAGTTGCTTTGTAAAAACCTTGGGCTGGTAGTAAGCGCTGCCGGGGATCACAAAGTCGTGATCTGTTCTTGCTCTGGCCTTTTTTCTTGCTGCTTGCAGGGTCACATCGGCCAGATCGCTTCGGTGGCTTATTCGCCTTCGGGGCACGCCGTGGGTTCAGGTGCAGCGGACGCCACCATCCGCTTGTGGGACGCGACAAGGGGTCAGCAGATCTCGGGCGTGCAGGTATGCAGAAGAGGGGCCCATGCGCTGGGCTACTGGCCGGCTGGGGGAAGTAGCCGGCGCTTGCATGACGAGGCCAGGCCACGTACGGCCGGACAGCGCGGGGAGTATAAGCATTGCATCTAAGAAACAGTCTTGACTTTGCAGTAATCCTATCCTTCCTGCGTACTTTCCTGCTGGCTATTTCTGTGCAAGCCTCTGTGCACGCTTCATCCTCGTGAACTGCTTGGCTGTTAATTACCTGGCGCGACGCAGGGTGATATGGGAAGTTTCCAGACCGTTGCCATTTCACCTGACGACAAATTCGTGTCCAGCAGTGCCGATGGTGAGGCGGTTGGGATGTGCTGCTCAGGGAGGGTCCTCCGCGCCTTCCGGTTGCTGTCCGTAACCGTACACACGCTGATAGGCCGCTTATGCGTTAGTCACGAGTTGGATATGAGTGGATATGGATATGCATGCTGGGGGCCACGGCTCTGCTAGGATCAGTGGTGGTGTGTCGCTCCTGTGAAGGGTTTCCTGCATGATGCACCTTGGATGCAGAGGGACTCACGTTGCTGCATGTCCACTGTAGATAACGTCATCCGCTTGTGGGACATGAACTCTGGCGAGCAGAGAGCAGTGCTACAGGTACGTTGGTGCAATGCCAGGGATGCTGCAAATTGCCCAAAGCGGTTGATGCGTAGAAGCCACGCCGCTGGTGCGCGTTATAGTGATGACCGTTGCGCATCAGCGCTGCTACCTGAATCAACTAATCTCTTAGTCTCGTACGTGATGTTGGCGGCAAGGATTACCATAGGGCAGGCCGGCACCAATGGGGCATCATCGCTTGTGCTGCCCGCGTTGCCTTGTTTTGTGCCACCGACCCGACGTGCAGGGTCACACAAGCTGGATTGTTGGTATCTGCTTCGGCTACCAGGTGAGACTGGCTGCAGAAATGGTTTTTTTTTTGCACTTTCTGCTTATCTGTAGTTCTCTTTTTGCCTCTTTGTCAAAGTATTCCAGTGCTAACGAGCACGAAGATAAATCTCATTGGGCATTTGCCGCAGGAGGACCATGACGGCGATCCTCATTTGATGCTGACCAGCTGTTCCGACGGTATGTGCTGCTGCAGTTGGGGTGCTTGGACGCTTGCGATTTTTGCCAGTTATCCTTTCCAGTTTCCCGCAGCATTGTGTCAGCTTTGCCTGCTTGGGAATGTGCGCGTCTGCACTCCTCGATGCGATGACGTTAGCTGCCAATACTTCCGGATGTATGTTGGTTTCCGCCGCAGACTGCAGCGTGCGTGTGTGGGACTGTGAGACGTCCGAGTGCGTGCGGGAGCTGCGGGGCCACACCGGCAGCGTGCGGGCTGTGGCGTGGGAGAGCGTCAAGTGGAACTACATCGCGTCGGCGGGCAATGACTACACGGTCCGGCTGTGGAACGTGGCGCGAGGATCGCAGGTGGATCTGTTCAAGGGCCACACGGACGTGATCCGCGCCCTGGCCTTCAGCCCCGACGGCCTCATCCTGGCCTCCTCCGCGGAGGACACCACCATCCGACTCTACCACGTGGGGCAAATCACCGGCAGCACCGCCGAGCGACCCGACTGGCTGCCACTGCTGCCGGGCTCGGGCGTGGAGCTCAGGGTGGGTGCGGGGTGGGTGCTGGGTGGCCGCATGCAGCCGGGATCCAGGATTGGTGATGCACATCTATCACATAATGGGACATGCGTTGGGCCTTTCAGACGCCTCCCACGAGGGGTTCAGGTTTGGAGGAGGTCAGCCGAGCTAAATCAAAGCAGCATTACCGACGGGGACATAAAACCTCCCAGGAGATCTTGAATGGGCTGTGCATGAACTAATCTGTGCTGGGCTTGCTTGCTTGCACGCCTTTGGACACATATGCAACTGAGTTATTGCGTAGGTGTTGATACACTTTCCTCTTAACACATGCAGGGCCACACCAGCTGGGTGCTTGCGGTGGCCTTCGGGCCGCGCAGGCAAGCCAAAGCGGATCAACTGCTAGTTAGCGGCTCGTGGTAAGTGGGGGCAGCATTGGCATCCTCCAGACAAATGAAGACTTTTACACGTTGACCAGCAGCACATGCGTCGAACCAGCTCCGCTTAACGTTTCGTGACCAGAAGGTATTATTTGCCGACTAAGACAGGCAAGAGCCCCATCTGGCCGCCTGCCCTGAAGATGGTCGCTACGTTAACGCCACGCGAGTTGTATTACAGAACCCTTGGCGTGCGTCCTGGAGAGTTACCTGTAGATCCTCCGCTCCTCCGCCTGTACCGCTTTAAAATGCTCCCATTGATTACTCTACCAAAAGATGAGCACCGCGCTTCTTTTCCTCTGCAGGGACCAGACCGTCCGGTTATGGAATCTACCGCCGGAGGGTCGTGAGAAGCCCTATTGCTTCGCCACACTTACGGGCCACACGGGCCGCATCAACGGCATCTCGGTCAGCACCTTTGTCAGTTCGGGCCTGGAGGTGCGTGCTGTGCTTGGCCTGTGCTAATTTGGCCTGCGTGGTTGACTGCATATCGCTTGCTCGTTGCCCTTTCTCTCTTCCCTTTTCGATGCTCAATTGACGAATGAAGGCTGTTCGCGAGCGTTGTACAGTCGGGCTGTGGGTTATAACGCTTTTGCACAGCCTTTGTCACCCGACGGACAGGCTGGTTTTGCAGGCTGACCTGTGCTGGGTCTTTCTATGTACGTGGGCGTGGGTGCATGCAGGCTACGCGTAACGTAAACCCTTAACCCTAACCCTATCATTCACTCGCGCAGCAAGGCTGGCTGTCATTACGCGTGGGGCCGCGTTTGCAGGGCCATATGAAGCCTGTAATTACCATTGCGGATACACTGATAGCCCTGCTTAAAACACTAAACACTACGCAGATTATTGCCAGCGCCTCCAACGACTCGACGGTTTGGCTGTGGAGTCATACGAACCGGGCCGAGGTGCCGCCGGAGCAGCACGGGTGGGAGGTGGTTGCCAAAATCCGGGGCCACGCGGGGCACGTGAACGCAGTGGCGTTCAACACCAAGGGCAGCCGCCTGGCGTCCGCGTCGGAGGTGAGACCTCGACCCAGGATCTATCGCAGCGAACCGGTTGCATTGCAATGGTGCAAAGTCCACAATAGTACTAAGTAAGCTGCCTCTAAACTGTGCAACTGCACTCTCAGTGACGCTAAGTTGTAAACGTGGCTATATAAGTGAAGCGCATGATTTCACTACTGACGCTCTGTATACTGGCTCACCTTGTGCAGGATGAAACCGTCCGGCTGTGGGATCTGATGCCGAAGAGCACTCTGGATAAGGTCGCCGTTACGCAAGCGCGGGATTTCAAGTAAGCCCTCCATCGCTTTTGCCGCGTCGTTGAGTTCGACTAGGCTGTTTCTACGGGGCAGTGTCTGATCGTCACCCCATCCAAAATCGTCACGTCCATCCAAATACGTGCATAATCCCGATCCCGTGAGCATTGCCGTGTCCTTGGTGAAGTGATGTTCTTCTTCGCCCTGCTTCACCCGAAGTCATCTAACCATGTCGTCCGCACGTACCCAAACACCCTCCCCCCTATACACCCATCCCGGCGCAACACCCTGGCAGGGGCATCCAGGGCACCATCACCGTCTTGGCCATGGCCCCTGACGGCCAGCTGCTGGCTTCCGGCAGTGACGACCACACCCTGCGGCTGTGGAGCACCCGGTCCAACCAGCAACTCATGGTGCTGCAGGTGACTCGCGGGCTGACTGACCGACTGCCGATTGCGGGTTGTGATGAGAGAGCGCGAGGAGGGATACGGGACCGGCTCCTGAAGCCGCTGGGGGAACTGACCACTACCTGCGCAATGGGTCAACGAATAGAGTCCGCATCTCGAGGCGTGTCTCTCACCCGGATCCTGAGCCCCTGTACTCCTCACCCCGCTGGCCCTGTCGTCCGGTCTTTGCGGACCCGCCACCCGCTGCCCCCTCCCTCCCTAGGGTCACGGCTCCCCCGTGAGCGCACTGGCATTCGACGACCAGGCCCTGGTGTTGGCATCCGGCTCGGTGTGCGGCACTGTGCTGGTGTGGTGCAAGGACTCCGAGGGAGGCGGCAACCGGGAGGGATGGAGCCAGGTGGCGAAGCTGGAGCTGGCACTACAGGTAGGGAGGACGGGGAAGGGGAGGCGGGGCCCTTCGTGAAGTTCAGGCGTGCAAAGAGGTCTGCGTGCATGTTGGATGGCGGTGTGCCGAGATTTTGAACAGCAGCTCGTCACGCTCTCGTTGGCCTCCTTACGCTGCCGGATCCAGTAGCTGGTAGTGCCATACCAGGCCCGTGCATGCCTTGCCACGCTTGCATGTGCAGGTGCCAGACGCGGCCGTCAGTGCTCTGGCACTGACCCACTACATCAGCACGACGATGAGCTGCGGTTTGAGCTTCGGTAATTCAATCGGTGCGCCTAGCAGCGGCTCGTTAAGCATAGCAGACACAGTGGCGACCGCAGCAGGCGGCGGGGCCGCTCGGCTACTGTTAGCATGCGGAACCAAGCCCCGTGACATGGCCAGCCGTGAGGCCATTAACGCGTACGGGAGTGCTGGCGGGATGGCCCACGCTGGAAAGAGCGGGGGATCGCGCAGGAATGTAGGGCGCGCCAAGACTGGCGGAGCGGGCATTGCCGCGGCTGGCGACGACGACTTTTTTGGAGGTCGCTTGGTGCGTGCGGGCCTGTGTGCTGAGAACGCTTGTGTGGGGCGGTCATGTGCGATGCTCGGGAGTGTACCTACCCTCCCTACCCTTCCTGCACTTCCTACCTTCCCTTACCCCCCTACCCTTCCTGCACTTCCTACCCTTCCTACCCTCCCTACTCTTCCTGCACTTCCTGTTTCTCAGCTTCAGCTTAACGCGCCCCTTGGGCTCGCGGCCGGTTGGCTTTCCGGGATGAAGAAGCTTGGAGCTGCTAACTGAGATGCCCTTTCCGTCGTGTGCAGATCTCCAGCAGCCTGACGCTGTGGGACGTGGAGGCCATCCGGCAGCAGACACACCTGCCCACCCACCTCCGCTCCAGCAAGCCACTCAAGATGCTCAAGTGTCAGTCGGCCATCTCGTGCACCGTCTTCAACAACACGGGCGAGATGCTCGCGTCCTCCAGCTTTGACAATGTGGTACGTAGGGAGCTGGACAACGCCGAGCAGCTGATAGAATTGTCAAAGCGCCACAGAACCCCTCGGGTCCTATTACTGCTGTCACCCATTCAGTGGTGTATGAGTGTCGGTCACTTTCCTACACAATTGAATCGCTGGCTACATAGTTAATACATTAACTTATAGCTATATAGATGAGTTGCCGAACTAATCTGCATGAAACGTTTGTTTTACAGCTTGTGGGCAAAATACGGTGGAGTGTATGGTGAGCTCCATGCGTTCACGAACGGCCAAAATATGCAGGTTACAATTCCGCCGAAGGGCAGCCGAACGCTTGCCTTAATTATTGTGTCTGCCCCCTGGCCTGCTCACCGTTGTGCCCCCCTGTAGATTTACCTTTGGCGGCCCGACCAGCAGAACCCTGTGGCGCGCATGTGCCACCCCTCTGCACCCGACATGGCGACATCGCTGTGCTTTACGTTGGTGAGGCTGCAGGCGGCCGTTTGCTGGTTTGGGCCGGCGCGCGCAGGGTGGTGTCTCCTTTTTTTTGTGGGTTGTTGCTGGCCGTTGGTGCATCCATTGCGACCGGTTGTGCAAACGGTTGGTGAGGACGTAGCCTGGTGCGAAGGAAGAAACACCCGACAATTACTGACGGCTCATACATTTCCTGTGTGGGCCTGCTGTTGGATCGTGTACGCAGGATGGCACGATGTTAATTGCGGCCTGCCGCTACAGCCAGCGCGTGGACGTGTACGACGTCGGCAAGGTACGATTTACCATTTGGCGATATTGCCATCAATTACATTATTATATTTACGTTGCATTTCAATAAGCACTACCTCTTGCGTTTGGCGAGGCCTAGTTGTTGTAATGTGCTGTATCAGTGTTTAGGGCCAACCTGTCAGGAAGCTGGATGACGCGAACTGGATGACGCGAATGTCCCACCTCGGGGACATGTGCCATAATGGGTGATGATGCTCGGCCATCATGAATGGAGGATTCGGAGGGTATGGCCAGCGGCTGAGCTCCTCCTTTTGTGTTATATAACACAAAAATACTTTAACTGCAATTTAAATTCTGCCGGCGCCCAAGCTCCCAAGTCAAGAAGCCATCATGTTTAATAGCCCGCTTAATGGGCCCGTTATGCCTTTGGGGAGTAACGCAACGCAAAGTGTAACATACACAGACAGATAGCGTGTCGCCAGCGCGGCATTAGCTTCTTTGTCTTGGGCAACGAATTTCCCGTTTCCCTGCCTTCCCAACTTTTCCTCTCTCCACATGTACAGGCCTGCACAGCCAAAGAAGGCAGCGTCACCGGCCCGGTACCCCTCGGCGATGTGGACGACAGCGGTCTGGACGGCATCGCGGTGGCGCCGTGCGACCCTTCGGGCACCGATGCGGCGGACCGCCTGGTCATTGTCTGCCGCAGCGGCTACAAGAACCAGGCCATGCACCTGCAGGTCCTGGAGCTGCCCTCTTCGGCGGCGGTCGCAAGGGCCTTGGAGGAGGAGGAGGCTGCGCACCGCCGCGCTTCATCAGCGCCACCAGGGGCCCTGGCGGCAGTGGCGGATGCGGTTCCGCTCCCGCTAGCGAGCGCACCTGCTGGTGTGCCAGGCGTGGCAGGGGACCACGCGGTTGCGTCCTCCGCCAGCGCGCTGGCGCCGCGGGAGGTGGCCAACGTGTACACTACGATGCCCATTCATCAGATCGCCTGCTTCGGGGACCTACTGGTGGTCACGAATGGCCGATCCATCAACTTCTACCGACTGGGTAACCCAGAACAGTGACATCTCAAACATTGCTAGGGTATGCGTATATGTATAGGACCTTCCGCACAACAAATCTCTAGCTATCCTAGTTTGTTGAACTTTGGTATCTGATAACTGATTGCACACGATCGCAAGAGGATGAAAGTAAATTTGTCTAAGCAGGATGTGTAGAATTGTTCCACGGGTTCGACACGCGCCGTGAGGCGCGCACACACGTGGATGCTCCACCGCAAGTTGTGTCGCGCTGCATTGCCACCTTGTTGGGAGGTGCCGCAGTAATGCTGCGAGCTGCACAAGGTGGGGCTGCGCCCAGCGGAAGGTTCGCTGTTGGGCAGTGCAGTGCGGGGTTCGTCCGTTGCGTTCACTGCTGGCATTCAACATGCGTCCTGCTGGTTTTCTCGTTGTGAATTTTTGCTGCCACCTTCCGCCGCGTTCAGGGTGAATGTGAACCCTGTTGAGCATCGTATTTTCTTATTTATTGGAAAAAGCTATGAATTTCGTGGATTATGCTATGAATGATTATTCTTATGGATCTGGAGGGATCAAACGTCCCCGCCAAAAATTAATGCCTATTTGTCGACCAATATATGAAGCAGGTGCCTTGCAATGGGGGCCCTTAATGTGAGGTATTGTGCAGCCGCCATCCATTGGTAATGGTGGGCCTTGTGGACTGCTGGGTCATTGACTGGTGAACTTTTGATAGGTATACGCGAAAAGGAGGTTTTCGCGAGGTCGGGGGGGGGGGTTGCCACCCGTATTACATACGTTTGGCCTGTTTGTGCTCGGGTGCATGCGTTGCTTAGTCTCTGATGAGCGCCGCAGCCCTTGTCAAACGTCGAATGACTTTATGTGTGTGTTCGCATTTTGCTTTGGGAGAAGTATACAGCGGTTCACGGAAAAGCACAACCTGTCCTGCGTCTGCAGAATTGTTATCGGCTATAGATCGTGCTTTGGTATATTGGGTAAGGGCCGTCCCTATCTATTTATACTACTACACGACCTAAGGACGATAAACAATATTCTGACGTGCAACGGGCAGCCTACATCAGCAGCAGGTAAGGGGCTGTTGGTCCACAAGCCGCGTATGTGCCCGCTGCACGTGTTGCGTCCATCCGGCAAGATGTTCATAATCCGGAACATGAAGGGCGGTGGGTCACTGTTCATGCCTGGATACTCCGAGGTTCCCCTACTACATATCAGCTAAGAAATACGTGTTGTTGGTAGGTTTTGAAAGCCAGAGGAACAGATCTGGCAGCGTTCAGTGCGGCGGACGCAGGGGCGAGAGACAAGCATCTCTTGGGATAGCAATCCTTGACATCCCGTGCCAGTAGTTTGCACACGTTTTGTTTTTGTTGTCGTACTTGATTTTGCTGGACTAAGCTGATCATGTATATGTATGCGTTTGCAAAAGTTTGGAGCAAGGTGGCCCACCGCACGGCACGGCACGGCAACATGCGGCACACACATGATTATTTGTGTTGGATCTGTCGGTCAAGATGGTATCCATCTCCCTGGCTTTTCCAGAGCCATGTTTGCACCTGCACTTATCTACAGATCAAGGGGGCCATCTGTCGTACATGGAAAAGTGGGCACATCAATTCGTTCCTTGGCCTTCGCCAAAGCTGACGGGCTGCGGCATAAACCCGTAGTTATGGAGATGCTGCCGTAGGCTAGCACTTCAGGTTGTGACCAGTTTGAAATGGTGTGCATGGCGACCATCACGCAGCTGGCGTGCAGTGCCGAATCGTTGGGCTGGTCTGGTGAGCTGGCTTGCCGTGCGTTTGTAGTAGGTCCGATGTCCTGGGTGACTTGTTTAGCGATATTGCGGTTATTTGACGCGCGGGGAGATCTGCCAGTCACGGCTCAGCTGCAGGCCTACAGCCGTTTCGGGGACTCATGGGGGTTGGGAGGATTGTACATACCGTAAGTCTAATAGCTAGAGCAAAGGAGGTTAGGACATATGCTGTCGGCTGCTTGGAAGGCTGGTCAGCTGCCGGACAGCCTAACGGCCAACAGCGCGCATGCGTCACAAGGTGTCTCCATATCACGCGCTTTGTCTATTCTCCGCAATAGTTTTGTTTCCCAGCCCGTTGTGGCAAGGCTGCTGTATGGATGACGTGCATGCAAATCATGGGCGTCTTACGACTAATCCGATGCAGACTGCTTAAGGCGTGTTATGGATCACGTGACTTGTTGGTTGCCAGTCTCCCCATGCTGCAACCAGGTCACTACGGATGTATGAACGTAATGGGAGCGGAGGCCGTTCGTGTACAGTTGTCAGTCTTCAAACCATTTTCAAAGGAGGGAAAGGAGGAAACCTGATGCTGTGCGTCGGTTTCAATTGCAATATAACATCATTAGCCAGGTCGGTGGTGGGCCATATGCCATTTCGAGGGTCATGGATTTGTATGAACGCACGAGGTTCAGACCCAGGCTTTCTTCATTCGCGTCCTTCGTAGATACCAACTGCAGTCACAATTTAAGTCTCTACTACCACCGGAAGTTTTTAATGAACGGTAGCCGCTACCGGTCAGTCCAGCGGAGGCGATCCTGACCACCTGCCAGTAACCGGGAAAAGTGTCGGGTTGTGTTTTCTGCCAGCAACACGCTTTTGATGCGTCTCCCTTGCTCGTTATTGTAATTGCCTCCCGAACAGCGTTTCTCCTTTCAATCCACTCGAGCAGCGACAGGTGGCAAGAGGAAGATCAATAACCTCTCCTCATGTCGCAATCGATATGTCGCGATATGTATTATGTACGCCTAGTTCCTCAGCTCATCCCAAAGGGTGCTTAGGCCTCCGACAGCAAACGAACAGCATCACCAGCAGCCGCACATGTGAATGCCCGGAAGCCACAAATCCCCTAACCACCGCCCTCATCTGCTATCTATCCTCTTGCTTCCTTTTCCTGCTGCTTGCTTAGGAGCTTCCTTTCAGCCCTGCAGGGGCCCTCTCCCCGGAACGATCCCGGTGCTCTCGCCTTCGCCCTGCCGCAGCGACTTGAGCATGTGGGCCATGAGCTCGTCCATGCTGCCACCTTGGAGGCCGTCCACCACGTCTCCTTGGCACACCAACACGCCCTGCAGCGCCGCACATGGGGTTACCCACGCCAGCGCGGTGGGGGGCCATTAACAACACGACGAATTGTATCCAGCTATACAGCTCCCCAAACACGGTGCTGGCTTCCGGCGCAGAGCCTAAGCACGGTGGTGGTGCTGGGTCCCGTATTCGCACGGGCTCTGAGACCTGAAGGGCTGGTCTAACTGTTCTGCTTATGCATTGAACGCAGTGCGACTGTCTCAGACAAACAAACACAAGTGTAAGCTGCCAATGTGAGACAGACAGGTTCGGAGTAGATTAATCACACATAACCCAACTAATGATCTAAAGTCCGCACGTCCCTACCTCCCTCCCTACCTCCGCCTCACCTGCAGGTGACACGCAGCGATGTCCTTGGGGTTGGCTAACCGGACCTTCGCTGATCGCCCTGACCGAACAGGCGAAGCACCCGCCGCCGCCGCAGCTGCTGCTGCTGTCGCCGCGGCGCCGTCCCCCGCCGCTGCCTCTCCGGCAGCAGCAGCTGCCTTACCGGTCCGTCCCTTCGCGTTACGAGCGGACGCAACGGCGGCGGCCAAGAACTCTGCTGACACCCCCTCCGGTGTGGTGATGTCGATGCTAGGGGACGGGATGAGCCCCGATTGCGTCAGCTCGAATTTGGCATTGCGTGGGATGATGGTCTTGGCCTCATTGACCTGCCGGGTACGCGGTCGTGCATTTTCCAATAACCGTGTCGTGCATTTTTAAATAACGCCCCTTCCTCCCTCCCTCCCTCTCCCTCTCCCCCTCTCTTCCTGCCGCACATCTCCCTCCAGAGACGCAAAAGGCAAACCCTCCCGCTTCCTCTCACCCGAAGTCACCCACGACGCCGCCCCCTTTCCCATACACGACCCCTTCCTCTCAGCGGGCCCCTCCCCTATCCCTCCCTCTATGCCCTCTAGCCTCCCGTCCTCGTCCTTCAGCCTCACCTCTACCTCCACTTTCACCCGGTCCAGCATGGGTGTGGCGGACAGCACGGAGCCCATGGGCACACCCTTCATGCGCAGCGGAGTCCCCAACTGAACTCCGGTGGCCTGCGGGTAAGGGTCAAGGGCGCAGAGGTGCAGGGCTACAGCCGTCAGACAGTCACACGGGTTGATTCCCACGCCGTGCCGTGTCGTGCCGTGTCGTGCGCGGTGCGGTGCGGGCTGCTGGGTTGCAGGGCCGGGGTCATACAGGGGGAGCCGTACAGGAAGAAGGGCCGCGGAGTGTCTCTAGGATATATACCTGCGGCAGCATGATGTAAAAACTGTACGGGTTGAAGCGCCGCAGCGGCGTGCCCACGGTCCAGTACGCCAGCGCGCCGCAGATGGCGGAGCCAATGACCACAAAAAGCAGCTCGCCCAGATAGGTGCGCCTGGGGTGATAAAGGAAGGGAAGGGAAAGGGGGCATACGACGAAGCACAAACAATTGACGGGAAGGAAGGTAGGCAGGGACGACGCCGCGTGGTCCCGAGCGGGTGGCTGCTAGAGCGCGGGTAAGTCCTTTCCCAACCCAGGGGCATTTTGAAATAGGGTTGTACCCGTGTATCACTGTACAACCCTCGTAGGCTAATCGGTGGGCTTTGTTCAGTGTATCGGTGGACTTACAACAGCGCTCCTCCGCTCTTTGCCTCTTAACTGTAATGTATCAATTGACGTTCATAAAATTTGCGGATGACCGTCGCCCACCCACGACGGGAGGGGAGCGGATTTGGTGCGAATCCTCATTCCGGTTGTGACACCGCTTCACAGGGCAGTGGCAGGAGCTCGTCATAATGCAAGGTAATTGGTCGATTTCCCTCAGCCAAACCCATTTTCGGGCCATTTTCAAACAACTTTGGCAGGACACATGGGTTGAGCTATGATCGGATGGGTTCTTTGTCTCCCCATAAAAGGAAGAGCACCATGTCCCAGCCCTCTAGATCACCTAAAATAAAAACCCACTTGATCACGCTACGGAAGCTGGCCCGTGTACTGGAGCCCATTGGCACGGGGCTCGCCGGGCCTCCGTTTGTGTTGGTGCTGCTGGAGCTAGCGCCGGCGCCGCTTTCTGGTGTGTTTTTACGCGCGCCCGATGGCTCGAAGGATGTATCCATGGGGGCCCCGTTCGTTTCAGCAGCGCCAACGCTGCTGCCCACAGGTCCTGGCGTTGCGCCAGCTCCGAGGCGCGAGCCCCCATGAAGAGCAGGCGCGGGGCTCACTACGCGCCGTGCGTGAGGCGCATGGTGGCAGCAGAGCCATCGCTGCAGGCCTGACAGCGCCCTCGTGGGCGCCACCGGGTTGTTTAGGCTCTGGCAACTGCAAATTGTGGCACATTTGCGTGGCGCCGGCATGGAGCGAGCGCCCGCGCAGCTCATCGCTAATCCCTGCCCCTAATCTTGAAGCGTCTATCTTAGCTTGGTTGTAATACAGCGTAAGCTGCGTAAGCTATTTCAACTTGAGGTTTTCGGGGAATGAGGCCCAGCGCTCAGAAGATATCTCTCATCAAATACATCGCGGTATGATTACAATAAATTTAGGTTCGAGGAGCACACGCAGCCACTTCGTCTCTATACACTCGCTGCAACTATTTCAATACTGATTACGAAGTAAGAAGTAGTTGGCGATACACTAAAAACCTCATACGCTAACGTTGTGCTGTGTTGAGGTTTAAAGCTAGGATGCACCATGCTAGTTTTGGGCTTTATTTCGTTAGTGTTGGTTAGGTTTCGGAAGCTACGCGACGTGCGAAGATCACGGAGACTGTCATCCGCACCAAAGTGCTCAGTGCCATGCATTTATTGCTATAGAAGATAAATTTGCTGCGTGTATGTGTGCCTGGCTGGATTACGAAAATGGCCCAACAAAGCGCACGTATGTACTGCTTATATACCTTCTCCTGTCCTTTCGGCCTGTAACTCGTGGGAGGACTTCCAACTTCTCAGTCAATCGCGCTAAACCAAGAGTCAAGATGTGCGGGCATCGTATTGACCCATCCCTGAAAGTGCCAGAGATGACAGCTGAGAACGCGCACCGTGCGCGTCCGGTGCTGACCGCAAGACGGGGCCCATCACATAACGGTTATATGAGGCAGCCAATCGCTTGCTAAGGATTTCATGCTAAGGCATTTGCCAACTCATCGGTCAAAGCTAGCTCACTCCTCCCAGCCACCCTCTCGTGACCCTCGTGATCCAACTGCAGCCCCTGTGACTTCTACGGGGCCGCAGCTACGCGACTTCCGCTGCAAATTATTTATTTTCGACAACCACTTGCAACCCTAAACCTTCCATTACCGCAAGCGAACCAGCATCGGCCACCGAACGCTCACCTTTAGGACAGCACCAGTCAAACCCCGGCCTGCAGCTACACAGCTCCTGTACGCATCCCTGGGATCTAAACCTCCGCTCTTCGACGGGTGCAAGAAAGTGAGATTCGCTCCAGGGTCCCAGCCAGCATGGCACGCTCCACTCAGCTGGCGATCCTCTCCGTCGCCTTCTTCTTGCTCTTCGTGAAGCCTGCGTACGCTCAACCGCTGGTGAGAAGGCCGCCATTGCGGAGCCTTGCCGTGACTTGTGAACGCGAGGAGCATGCAACAACACACACACACACATATATAGTCTCCAACGGCTTAGATCAATATAATACACTGCAACATGCGATGCCGTGCACTCGTCGTCGTAGCTCCCGAACCAGGGATCACAAAGCAGCCCGTCTACCCTCACCCACTCACCATCGCATGATGAAGTATCTCAGACAACGCCGCGGCCTTCCACGCACGCTTTAATTTTCAATGAAACAACTGACATCACCTCAGGCAGCCCAAACCAAAGTCTTCCCAACCTGACTTGAAAACACGCCCTTCGCGCAAATAAGCCCACGCTTGGCGCCACCAGCGGCCTGAACGCTCGGGCATTGCTCAACCCCACATACCCCGCTGGCCGACATGTTCATCTCGCGTTTCTCTACCAATTCCCAACGGTCCCCTGGCGATCATCTCTTACTTATCGCCCTTCATCTGCAGGGTGTCATCGACCTGTCGCCATTCAGCGGCGGCGGCTTTGGGTCCATGGCCTCGAACATCCCCGGGGTTGCCCTTTTAAGCAACATTGGCACCGGGGACACGCTCGCCAGTGTGTTATCCACCATGGGGATCAACCAGGGTGTCATCGACACCATCGTCGCGCCACTTGCCAACTCGCGCGAAGGTAAATGGGTGAAAGCAGGGCAGGCGTTTCACCAAAATTCGAATGAATGAATGAATGAATGAATGAATGAATGAATGAATGAATGAATGAATGAATGAATGAATGAATGAATGAATGAATGAATGAATGAATGAATGAATGAATGAATGAATGAATGAATGAATGAATGAATGAATGAATGAATGAATGAATGAATGAATGAATGAATGAAAAGTGCATCTGCGCGGAACTACTGGGTGCCGTCCGCACCCAGGCATCGAACTGCGTGGTTGTAGGGTGTCTCAGCTGCTGGAAGAGTGGCTGGTTGGGTGTCAAGGGGGCCTAAGCCACGCGCACCATCATAGACCTCCCCTTCCCCGCCCTCTCATGCGCGTGATGCAGCTGCCAACACGGTGCGTGACGTGATTGCGAGCAACGCCGCCAGCCGTCCGGGGGTCATGGGTCCCATGGGCACCCCCGCCCAGGCCATCTCCGCCTTCAACGACCTGGTACGGCAAGTGTATGCCGCTCCTTAGCCCATGTGTTCCGTTACACAGCCCGCGTGCACGGCTACACACTTTAAAATAAGTTACCCGCCACATGTCGCACTGTCCCTGGGTAGGATACACCGGGGACTGATCCTTGTCTCTTTACCGCAGATGAACAGTGCCTTCCGAAGTGCCGCGGGGCAGCTGGTGGATACGGTGGTGTCACGCGGCGGCGGCGGCGGCGGCGGCGGCCGGGCCGGCGGCTCTTCGACGTCCTTCCGCAGCAGCACCGCTGCCGGCAGCGATGCGGACGGCAACAGCAGTACGAACTCGTCCGTACGCAGCTCCTCCCCAAGCGTCATCGTGGGCTTCGGCTTGCCTGTGGATCCGTCGGGTATGTACGGATGTTTGTTTGGATGACTTCACACGTCACACGTCAGGTTAAACATGCGTGTACAGCACTCATGCTTACACGTATCATGTGAATATACGCTAAGCTCTATGACACATGGCTCCCTTCCTGCTCTTTGTCTTCATGGCAGTATTTGCGGATGGCTTTACAGCTGGCGCCAACCTGCCCCCCGTCGTCTCCGCCACCGGACCGGACTACACAGCCTTCCAGCAACAGCTGTACGGTGAGTGAGTGAGTGAGTGAGTGAGTGCTAACACAGCCCTGTCGCTTCGGCCTGCCGTACGTACGTACACCCCTTCTCTCACGCATCCGAACCCGGACCGCTTGCCTACCTTCCACATTACCCCGTCGGTTGTCGTCGCAGCGGATATCGTGAGGCAAAATGAAGCGGTGGCTGAGTTCCAAAAGCAAGCGGCAAAGAAGGAGAAGACAGATGAGACCCTCAAAAAGGCATGTGGACAATATGCCCTTAGCGAGTAAGTCAAAGAGAAGATCGAGGGAGGCATTCATTCTCTACCACCGCTGGGGGTTCGTTTGCTGACTCGTTGCTGACTTGTTATTGCGGTGACTACTGCCAACTTCTTATGTTGCCAAGAATGTCAAGTGCGTGGTAGGCGCGCTTGCCCCCTACCGCTGTTACCTCGTGCCACATGCTGAACCCAGCAGCAAACTAGCGATTTGGGATCTAAGCCTTATTGTTATCAACGGTCGTCGTCGTACATCCCGTTTTTGTATGTTGCAGGTTCCTGGAGTCCCTCGCCCAAATGCTCCTGAGATTCGGGCAGCCGGCAAGCGCCACCTTCTCCGTGCTGGCACAGTTCTCAGGCCTCACCTACTCTGCGTAAGCATACATCCCGTTGGAGTGCTGGAGGCGCGCAAGGATGTGCGCATACACACACAGACATACACACAGACATACACACATTCGTATCGCGGCTCAGATTAATTAAGAGACACACACATATGCGCGAATATATACACACACGCGCGCAAGCCCGCCGTGACTTCAACAGTCACCAAGAGGCGGATGTGCATCATTGCCTGTAAATGCAATCAGTCAAGTAGGCACCACAGACACATTTGCACTACCGTCCATGCATAAGCTCCCGTTTAAGCGAATGACGTTAGCAATGTATCAAAGCGAATGGCCGGTACTTGTGTATATGCACGAATACTCAACTGACAACAATATTCTTCCCTCGCCGCCCTGTTCGGCGCCGGCTGCTGAAAACCGCTGTTCCTTCTCTATCTTGGGCATCCTTCCATCATCATCATCATCATCGTCCTCAAATTTGCTTTCACTGGCTGCCTTTGGTTGCCCACTTCGCTGCACGCTGTGCAGGTTGACGCCGCAGGGCAAGGCCTACCTGAACGTCTTCTGCTGCCAGAAGATACGCGAGGCGGGCATCGACGTCGGCCTCCTGGACGACGGCACTATCGTCGCCGGGCCCCTTAGCGGAATTAGCTTGGACGCGCTGCTCGGCATCCCCAGCACCGTCGCCGCCGGCGTGGGCGCTCCCGCCGAAGTTACCGAGGGCATCGACAAGGTGACGGGTGCCATCGCCGGCGCGTTGGCATCCGTTGACAACAGCCTCACGGGTCTGCTGGGCGGCAGCGGCAGCGGCAGCGGCGGATCGTCATCTGACCGGCAGCCGAAATGCAACATCCTCGACTGGTTGGTCTTCGCACTGCAGAGCGACCCGCAGCTCATGAAGCAGTTCACCGACCTGATCCAGGTCACGATGGTGCGTGCATGATGTAGTTGTATAAACCTGCATGCACTTGGATGTACTTGGATGTATATGCTTGCCTCCTATTTGCGTGTGAGAGCCTCTACATACGTGTAGCTGCACGTTATTACACGTTATTACACATACACACACATTCCATCCAGTGTTGAAGCCAACAAGTCACTCGCGCGGCCCCAGCGGCACGCGCCCATGATATCCCAATATACCCTAAGAAACCTTTATTTACCCTAGAACACGTGCACTGCTTGCTACCGCATACATTGCCTTCATAGCTAATATATAAAACACACCCATGAACTCACATTCCCACAATAATTCGTCCCTTCTTGTATATATATGTTATGTACACAAAAGAGACTGGAAGCCAATCTCTACGGAGCCGCGGTCGACAACGCCAGGCGCGCGAACGCGCGGTCAACGAACCTCCTGCAGGCTGTGGCCAACGGCCGACCTGCCACAGCTGCGGCGGCTGGAGATTTGGCGCTGGGCAATCTCTTGACCGCTGTTAGGGGCGGCTAGTTAACACTAGACAACGAATCGAAGGGCGGGAGGTTTACAATGACAACAGGTAATCGCGCTACATGTCTTTAAATCCGCGTTACGAGGATAGTGGCTCCTACGCAAGTTGATCGTGCAGGCCTGGCTCAGTGGTTTATGTTTCCTGCTGCATGCTGCTGTTTGGAGCGAGGTGGTGGAGCGAGTAATCGCTCGCGAGTTAGCACGTAACAGTATAATGGAATATTCCTGCTCAATAATGAGAGACGGTTGAACAAAAAAGGCTTGATAAGCGCCGAAGCGGAGGAACGGGAATATTTGCTTGCTTGTGTTTGCAACGTTGCCGGCGGGTGCCCTTGCGGTGAAACCGTCAGCGGACCGGCTGGGCATCGTGTACTCTGTTGCGTTCTGCTTCGTTGCTTGCTGGTCCATCCGTGTCACCGGTCGTGCATGCACCAACCACGGTTGGCATCGGCTCAAAAAAAATTTTGAGGTTCAGGACAAAATGTATGATGCTAGGTAATTATCGAAAGCAGCACCGCCGCAAGACTGATAATCGGCTGGTCGGTTAACCCACGCGCACCCATCGATCCGCCCTGCCGTTGATCCATCGTCCGTGTGCAGCAGCGCTGCCCCTCAAAATTCCTGTACGCGGCACCTGGTATTCTGTAACAATAATCGCAAATTGCATTTCGGCGCGCGCCCTCCCGTGCAGAACGTTTCTCGCGGCACGTGAAAACGTACGGCAAGCAAATCAATGGCCGTACGGTGCATTTGTGTACATTTCCAGGTACTGATAGGATAGGAAACGGCTTAAAAAGGAGGCACAAAAAAAATATGAGCATGTTGGTGAGACGCTATCTCACTGGGACCTAGCAGACACGACTAAGGAGACATTAGCCGTTACACGTATTCGGGAGATCCGCGACCTACCACCGATAGCCCCTTTACCTAGGCGTAAACGTGTGAATCTGAGGTACTATCACCAATAGACAGCAATGCCTTATAAAGGCTTGGAAAGCTTATCCTGATGGACGAGCTGGCAGTACTCTAGAACCTGCCAACCGTTGCTCACAGAAGTCTGATGGGCAGTCTTAAACAGGCCACAGCTGTTACTCACGATAACCTGACAAGTTACCTAAACAGGCCACGGGGCGACACGACATCCCTTAGCATCAACACGCCCCCTCGAGTCGCACTGGGGCCTGACTGCAAACTGCTAGTACCGACGAGCTAGCTCGGCCGCCAAGTCCACGGTCCAGGCCGACTGCTCAACACTCAGCAGACACAAACGCAGCTTGCCAGCCTTCAGCCTGATGGCTATGCGGTCTGGCGCTGCTGCACAAACACATACAGGAAAAACAGCGTCGTACAGCACCATACGCACTGCCTACGGCGCCCCTTCGGGCATTGACCTGCCCATTCGGGCGCCTGCTCACGCACCCTCAGCACCCCCTAAAGCCTAGCTCAAAACAATTCCTCAAAGCCCTCAGCACTCCTCCTCTGGCGATCTAAGTGACGCCCAGCGCTGTGCGGCAGCGCACGAACTTGACCTCGCCCAGTGCCTTGGTTAGGATGTCAGCCACCATGTCGTCGGTGGTGCAATAGCTGAGCTTCACCTCACCACGCGTGACCCTCTCGCGCACGATGTGATGGTGCACGTCGATGTGCTTGGAGCGCACCGACGTGATGGGGTTGTTGCCGAGGCTGAGCGTGTTTATCCAAAATCACACACTGCGAAGCAACCGGTGATGGCTGCTTTGGCGGCCGTGACCAATTGCAAGTTGTCCGCCGCCACCAGCATGTCGTCAACGTGCACAAGCACATAAATTGAGCCGTCGGACCTGCGCTTGACGAATAGCGCGGGGTCGGACATAGACGGCCCATAGCCTAGCTTGCCCAACACCGCCGCCAGTTTCTCGTACCAGCAGCGCGGGGCTTGCTTGAGGTCGTAGACGGACTTTGACATCCGCCACGTTTTGACGTCCATCTGATGGACCGTCATACCCCTGGCCGCCGCCACAGCCAGAAGTGCCCGCAGGGAGGTTGCACTGCCGTCCGCACTGCCGTCGGGCACGTTAAACTCAGCACAATCAGTGCTACCCGACGCTTTGTTAAGCAGCGGTGGACTACCCAAATCTCCGCCGCCGGCGCTGCTGTTGTTGGCCGCACTGACCGGGGCCAGCGGCGGGTGCAGCGGTTGCCGTTGACTGCAAGTGTTGGGGTGGAGGGCGGGCGCTGGGTTTATTGGGGGCGGGGCATCCACTGGAGGCGACGGTGTGGCGTTCTGTGTAGAGCCGCCGACGGGGTCGCTGCTGCCAGGACGGGCGGGGCTGGCGCCGAAGGGGGTGCCCGCCCGTTGAGACGCCAGGCCGCGGAGGTCGTCGTCGAAGGTGACGTTGCTGCTAACAGTCACCTTGCCGTCGACGAGGACGCGGTGGGCGGCCGTGCCGCGGTCCGGTCCAAGGTAGGTTCCCGCCTCCGTGCGGGGACCAAGCTTATCCTGCAGTTTACCGTTCGGTTGGCCTCCGCCGGTGTCACTGCTGGCGGTGCTGCCACCGCGAGTGCTGGCGCCGGTGTTCGTCTGGTCTCCGCCGGCGTCACTGCTGCTGGCGCCGGTGTTCGGCTGGTCTCCGCTGGCGTCACTGATGGCGCCGGCGGCACTTCCGCCAGCGCTGCTACCTCCGCCGGCTCTGTCTTCCGCAGCGCCGAGCGCACTGACGGCGCGTTTGGTCGGCGCCAGCAGGTCCACATCCATAACGTAATGCCCACGCTCGCTCCACGCGGTGATAGACGAACCGCCGTGCGGCAGGCCTACGCGCGAGAACCGGCGGCCCGCCTTGTCCGTGCCGAACGTGACTGAGCAGCCGCGCGTCACGAGAAGGTCGACAGACATGAGCGTTAGTCCCGAGCTGGGGACATGAAGCACGTTGCGTAGCCAGACGGATTCTCCATCGCGCGTCCGTAGGAGCAGCTGCCCTGTTCCCATGACGTCGGCTAGCTGGTTGTTCCCCCACTTGATTTGCTTGGGCGCGCCGGCAGGAATGTAATTATGCAACAGCGAGCGGTCACCTGTAAGGTGGTAAGGCGAACCAGAGTCTAGGACAACTGCTGAACTGTTGCCACTGCCACCGACGACCAGCACCGTGGCACGGTTCTGGCGTGAGCTTATTCCGCCACCACCGCTGCCACTGCTTCCGCCTGCAGTGTCGCTGCCGTTGCGGCGGCCGTTGCCGCGTCTAACACGGCTGCGTTCACGCGTCCTGTCGCCCCCGCTGTTATTGCCGCTGCTGGTGTCTCCGCCACCGCCATCATGATGGCGGTTGCCGCTGCCACTGCTGCCGACGCCGGTACTACGTGGCTGCTCAAACGCATTGCTGCGGTAGAGACCTACAGACTCGTCCGCCAGCTTAACGGGGCACTCGCGGACCTAGTGCCCAGGCTGTCCACAGTAGCGGCAGATGTCGTTGGCCCCCGCGGCGCCCGACGCGCCAGCAGCACCGCGGACTCCACGGGCGGTGCGACCAGGGCCAACAGCTCCAACCAGGCCGGACTTGACTGCTTGGGCCTTTAGGTTGTTCTCCTTCTCCCGCAGCATGAACACGAGCTGCGGGGTCGTCAAGTTGGGCAAATACATCGCGAACTCGACAGTGATGGCGTACTGAGGAGGCAGGCCGTGGAGAATGGCGTGACGCATAGCACCCTCGTCCCACTGGCCGCCTGCCGAGATAATGTCGCTGCAGAGCTGCTCCGCCCGCTGAATGAAGTCAGCGGTCGTCTCTTCGTCGCCCATGCACAGCTGCTTCTGCGGCTCTACAGGCTCAAAGTGGCCTGAGAGGCAGGAGGGAACATGTTCAGGAGACGTGGCGCAATGGATAGCGCATCAGAATTCGGATCTGAGGGTTGTGGGTTCGAGTCCCATCGTCTTCGCTAAAGGTCTCTAGGGATGCTTTTACCCGACCATGGGCCGGCGGCTCTTCGACGTCCTTCCGCAGCAGCAACGCTGTCAGCAGCGATGCGGACGGCAACATCAGTACGAACTCATCCGTACGCAACTCCTCTTCAAGCGTCATCGTGGGCTTCGGCTTGCCTGTGGATCCGTCTGGTATGTACGGATGCTTCTTTGGTTGACTTCATACGTCACACGTCAGCACTCATGCTTACACGTATATGTAAATATACGCGTATGTTCTGTGACCCATGACTCCCTTCCCGTTGGCTCCCTCCCTTCCTGCTCTTTGTCTTCATGGCAATACTTGCGGATGGCTTTACAGCTGGCGCCAACGTGCCCCCCGTCGTCTCCGCCACCGGACCGGACTACACAACCTTCCAGCAACAGCTGTACGGTGAGTGAGTGAGTGAGTGCTAACACAGCCCTGTCGCTTCGGCCTGCCGTACGTACGTACACCCCTTCTCTCACGCATCCGAACCCGGACCGCTTGCCTACCTTCCACATTACCCCGTCGGTTGTCGTCGCAGCGGATATCGTGAGGCAAAATGAAGCGGTGGGTGAGTGAGTTCCAAAAGCAAGCGAGTTATATACATACGTATAAGCTTATCCAGGAGACGTGGCGCAACGCATAGCGCATCAGACTTCGGATCTGAGGGTTGTGGGTTCGAGTCCCATCGTCTTCATAAAAGGCCTGGGGATGCTCTCGCTATCTCTGGCGCATCCAGGGTCCCGATGCCATCTGTGCTGTAGGCAGGCGGCATGCAGAGGTTAAACTCAAAATAGTACTTCTGGAGTGTCCGAGTTCAAACTTGCCTGTCGACTTCTCGGGTATTTTAGAAATGTTGAAATGGGAGGTGGCCCCTCATCTTATGGACGGTGTAGGACGTGATAATATCAACTTGCGAACTGACCAGGAACTAAGTTGAGGCGCCGTTAATCCGCTAGATTTGGTTGAATGCTAGTGGTGAGTTGCTGAACCCAACGAATACATTCTGAAGTCGGATGAGGTGAACAGAGTAGGGTGCCCCTCTAGCAGCAGGGGAGGGTAGGGAACTGCCTCGGGAAAGGGGGCCGCTGGTGAAGCTTTTAACCACCCTGTAACGACATACATACATACGTATCCTCCCTTCTCCTGCTGAGGGTAATAAGGGAGGATAGCTCGACCCATGGGGAGGGGGTGCGGGCGAAGTTGTGCAACTGACAGCAGGTTGGATTGAGGGGTCGGAGGTTGAGATCCCATGGCATGTGTGTGTGTGTTACATGGTTGGGGGTGCGTGACCCCATACCTGTAAGACTACCCATACAAGCCGAAGGCCCAAGGGCAATACTACAACGCCTAAAAGCCACGGAGAAAAGGAAAAACACCGCACATCAGCCCAGACTAGCGTCCAAAGGGGGTAATTGAGATCCCATGGTATGTATACTTACCCGCCCTCCCAACTCTGGGACTCACATGCCCTGGTGCATATTACAAGCAGGCATTGCTATGCCAGGAGCGGTTGGCAGCGGTTGGATTTTGGGTTTCACAGCGGGTGCACATCGTGTTGATGTTGTATTACAGAGTGGTCCCGGTGCTCTGCTCTGTAGGAATGACGTTGACAGTCAGAACATCCTGCTTTATTGTCTAGTGGCACAGAGGACCTGCGTGCGCGCGTGGGCTGCCAGGGTGGCGGCCCGGACAGCACCGATCGGATTTAATAAGCTGGTTCAATGTAGCATATAATGGAGTGCTTTTTGTAAACTAATGTCTCACTGGAATCTGAGCTGGGAGGGATAAGGGTGCGGGTTGGGTTGCATACCGGTGGGGGCCCTGGATAAGTTGCGGGGTCTGGCCGGGCTGGGCTGTCCAGGGGTTAGTGATGAGGGGTAGACAGTGTGGGTAAGGTAAGGGCACCCTGCCCCTACCACTACCCCTACCACGGGGTAGGGTTATGGGGGGGATATGGTCCTATTGGGTAGGGTAGCGCGTGGGTGTAGTAACTGGTACACAGTACGGCACACATATCGTCAACAAAAACGCATTAAGGCGCTCTATCAGCGTTTCGAGAGGCCTTTTCAGCGGCCAGCTACGACTTGTTGACTTGGATGCGACGGAACGAAGTGATCGGAGAGTCTAAGTATGGTTCTGTGCAACTGTCGTACAACCGTATTTGAGTGGCGAGTATGACGTGCTTCAGCTCCTTCGTTACAGGCATTCTGCCTTTCACTCAGTAGAGCTTCAGCTCGTAGCTTACAGTTTCCCGCCCACCTCCCCCTATGGACTTGCGGTCGTTACTCCCCCCTCCATCCTCCCTTTCTTTTCCTTTCTCCGCTGATCAGTCGCAGACACCTCCGCGCCAGGCTCGGCCAGCGGCGGGCCGGTGGCAAGCGCCCGCTGAGGGATGGCTAGACAGCAGGCGGGTTGGGAGGTTGAAGGTTGGGGAGGGATTTGGCTGCGGTTGGTTCCTTTAGCCGCTAGTAGTGCGGCCTTGAGAGCTCTGGTAGGGTGGTGCTTGTCGCTGTAGGACTCAGTCGGTGTCCTTGCTCGGGTTTCAGGAAGTTAGGGTCGCCGTCGAGTGAGTTTGTTCTGGTGGTCGTTGGATGTTCTCTGGTTTCGCGTGATTTGTCGTCCGTCGCGCGCGTGTTGCCCCGTGGGGGGTTGTTGGTGGGCCGCACGGTGGTTGTGTGGCGGCCGGTGGGCCGTAGTCGTACGGCCGTGGTTGGCAGGGGTTGTGTTCTACTGCAGTGTAAGGGCGCTTGGCAGCTGGTCTCCCCGCTGCCTGTCTCTACCATTCCCAGCACGGTCAGCAAGCACGTCAGAGTCGGCATAGCCATGAAGATACGGTTAAAGGAGACAGGAGCACAGAAAGCAGCAAGTGGGTAATGCTTACCTAGGGTTACCGACCTTTTTATGCCATAGGCCTGCCTGCTGGCTAGTCTGGTGGTAGTGAACCGGCATCAAGTTCAGTGCAACGCCAGTAAAACGTTTATCGTCGATAAATCGTGTCCTCGTAGTGTAAGGGGTAGGGACGCTGTCTAACTAGTATTCGAGGGCACAATCCATGACGATGAAAAAGCATAGAAGAAGGGGTATTTTACCAGCTTAGATATTGGCCCGCGTGCTGCAAGACACGCAGGTGCACCTATCTAACGGAGCGGTTCATGGTTCAAGGTATTGGACGCAGGAGGCGCGTGCGTGGCTGCATGTGTGGGAAGGGTGCGTAATCCCAGCCGCCTGTCCTTTGGTTACCAACAACGGCAGGTATATGTTAACGTACGTAGCTAGACGTAGGATAGGAGCAACCCTGCAGTGCACGTGTGATTGTGTGGGAAAATAAAGTTGCTGCGAAGTCGAGTAGGTATAACAGCAAGATTGCTGTGTGAGAGGATGACACGTCATTCAATCCTTTCTGTCTGACGTCTTCGGTTAGCGAGCCGACAAAAGTGCGTAGTCAGCCGTCCACTGCCGCGGTGGTCATCATCATCGTGATTATAACCTTTAGAAGCAGTGCCCAGCCAGGGTGTGTAGGCATCATGCCCAGCCAGTGGGGAATGGCACCATGAGACAAGTTCGAGTTCGTCCACGACAAATATGGCATACGTAAGACTGCGTGATTTTACAGATGTACATCACCATAGCCTGCCGTCCGGACATACACACCGGACGGAGTATTTATTTGTAGGTTAATGAGCAGTGTAAGGAAATGGAAGAACTTAAGATACTCGGCAGGGCTGCTCATGCCTCCATTTTCGTGCAACAGTTGAACCAGCCAGCTACTATTTTAGCCAAGTTCCGACGGCTAAAAGTACTAGTGGGTTCAATTATTTCCTGCATAGTTGGGAAATAATAATTTCCTCGTCACGATATCACGGAGGATTTTTTTCCACGGAAAATAGCCACGTGCACATTGCTGTTCGCTCCCCGGGTTTATCTGCTGAAGGGTCGAATCCTCGCTCATGCAAGTAACATCGCGCGCTCAACAAGACCGAGTCCGCGTTCCATTATAAATATCGTGCCAACTAGAATCTGTCGACCGTTCACTGTCAATCAAGCACCCACATCGCTTTACAAGCTACGGCTTATTATTGCCAAAAATGGATCAGAAGAGCCAAAGTTGTATAATGCGTGTGGTACTGTTTGGAGTACTTGGCGTACCAAATCTCATTGTACAGCCACTTCAGCCATCAGCCAAATCTCTTCAACCAATCAGTGCGTGCGGAGGAAAAAGAAGGGAAACACATGCATCGTACACACGGCGTGGTGAAGTACAGCCGCAACAAAAAAAGGACAAAACGGGTTACTGGCCAATTAAGCGAGACCCCGTACAGGGCTCCCACATCATCACAGAACAAATTTTACAGCTCTCTTTACAGGAATAGCCCTGCTGCCTAGGGCGCGCTAAGCTTCCAGCAGGCATCCTACGTGCACTAGGTAGAAGAATGGCCGACCATTTGACTTCTTTTGTTCCGGATTGTTATTAGCCCAGGGTGCTGAGGATGCCGGCCGCATTGTTGGCGGCCTGGTTGGCTCCGGCCAATGCTTGCGTGAAGAGCCCCGCGTTCAAGCCCTGCAGACATGTCATTATATGATTACCAGGCGGGGCGGTGAGCAGAGGCGAGCACGGTGGCAGGGGTCGGGTGCGCGTGCCCGGAATAATGGGCCAACCAAACGAACATGCACGTGCACACATTTCCATATTTCCCCATCCTGACGGACGGAAGGCGCACACCCAGGGAAGCGACGATATACCCTAGGCCTGACATATGTGTGCGCAAATGTGTGCAGCTAAATATATGTATGTATCTGGTGTATCCTGTATGTATATTTTATGTACCGTGAATCTGCACGGTACGTACAGGATTCACCTTACATCCTGAATGTACCTGTAGTAGCTGGTACACAGTACGGCACATGTATCAGACTACAAATACGCGCAAAGCGCTTCACCAGCATCTCGAGAGGCCTTTTCAGCGGCCAGCTACTACAGTACCGTGTATCATACCGAAGAATTCACGGTACGCAGTTTACAATAAATATATTACAATAAATAAAATGTACCACTGTACGTACACTTATACATCACATAGCTATCTATATCTATCTGCCGCTGCTGCCGCCATGCATGTACGTACCAGCGAGGCTCTGATCAATTGACTGAACTGCTGCGCCAGCTGCGGGTCGCCCTGAAGCGCAAACGCCAGCCAGTCAAGCAAGCTGCACCTCGGCAGGCCCGTGATGGATTCCCCAAGCGCGCTTAGGGCCTGGCCTGCGGCGTTGACGGCAGTCTTGGCGGCGGTGGCGGCGGAGGAGCCCGCGGGGAAGGCGGCTGGAATGGCAGCCAGAAGGCTAGCCATGTCGATACTGACCCCCCCAACCTTAATGGTGCTGTCGTCCGCTGGACTTAGGCTTAGGTCGATACCCGCCTTCCGGACCGTGTTGCAGCAGAAGCTGTTGAGGTAGGCATTCCCGTTCGCAGTCAACCTGCTTGTCACGTGCGGAGCATGGCATGGCCAATAGGCCGGTCAATAACACGGTACGGCAGCTGTCCAAGAGGCCGTAGTAACGGCTACATGTCAGGCAAGTACATGTCTCAAGCAAAATAAAAGTCCCATGCAATGGAGCAAATCATGGGGCGTCCAGTCGTAGGATCGATCTGCAGGGTGGGGGGACATGCTCGTGACAGGGGGTTGTTATTGAGCAGTAGATAGTAGCAGCAATCGATGATTGAGAAGTTATCCGTGTGGAGCCACCGTACATGCAGCGGGTGGTTGCCCACTGTGGGTTATTAAATAACCGCGTATCCTACATTTTGGTAATGACTTTGTTAAAACACGCAGTGTGGACCTGGTGTCGTGGCAAGCCGAAAGAATACACTCAGCATTTTCATTTACGGCAGGTGTATTATCTTCATGTGGTTTTGATGATTGAATAAACATGGCATGCCGTACAGGAACGCATGGGTGTTGCGTCTGCCCATGAGCATAATACCTCACCCCGTGTAACCCGAGCCCGTGATCTGGCCTAGGGTTGCCAAAGCGCCTGCAGCCCCGATGTTGAGGCCCAGTAGCAGGCTGGAAAAGGCGTTGAGAAACCTGCCAAGTAAATGCAAGGTAGAGTGGTTTCTCAGTAAATAGTTTATGGATGTTTTTAGCGTGGCGCACCAGGCGGGAGCCGCCGGGGCGGATGGGTGTATGGGATACGTAAGAAGGCATGAACCATGAACAGGAAGGGAAGGGAAAGGTAGGATGCTCCTAGTAACTAACAACCCCCGCGCTAATAACCGACGTAAGCATCATTCCTGAGGTAATTTATGCATGCGTGTTCGTGCATAGGCCTGTTGAAAGCGGATCTTGCACTTAGGGGTGTGTGTGTGTGTATGTGTGTGTGTGTGTATGTGCGCGCGCGTGTGCTACATGGTCATGGGGATGTGTACCCCGTACCTGCAAACCGCTCAATACAAGCCGAGGGCTCAAGGTCCACTTGTAACGCGTACAGGAACAATAAACGACTTAATGGCTGTCAAACAATGCGAATGCACAATGTAGACGTATGAGTGTAAGTGCTACACATGCGCGATCCAAACAAGGCAACCCCCTTACTGGCTGAGGGCGTACTGAATGCACACTTGGTTAAGGGCTCGATCCACGGGGGCTCTGTTTCTGGCCTGCTGCTGGAAAGTCTCAACCTGTTTGCGAAAATTAGCGCCTTGAGTATTCAAGTCCCCTGCCAGTATCCATCACAAGTGCAGCGGCAAGTGCGCGACACGGCAGGAGGGAGGCGAATAGTCAACACCATTGTTTCAGGTGTGCACGTGCATGCAACGAGGGCCGCCGTGCAGGAGGTCTATCATAAAGATTAAAGGCGGCGTCGGCCACCCCTGCACCAATACCAACCCTGCACTTATAATCTGATAACTTTTATCTGCCTTGTTCACATGCTAGCCGCAGCTGCCCTTGGGCCTTCGGCTCGTATGGGCAGTCTTACAGGTATGGGGTCACGCACCCCCAACCATGTAACACACAGACACACATGCTAGTCGCAGCTTCCAAGCCGTCTTTTTTGCAGCCCTGCAGGAATGAAACAGGGCAGAACCCCCTAAGCACTTGAGTTCCGCAGATATAGCATGCATGCGGCTAATGTTGCTGTTATGTGGATACACCGAACACACTCTCAACCATGTGCTAGATGGGGGATAGCACGCCGCCTAATGGAGTGCTCACCCATCAGCTGCCGGGAGAAGGTGTCAAAGTCCGTCTGCGTTGCCTCCGCCACCGGAGGGAGACCTGTGCCTGCCCGAGGGCTGCGGAGGACTGTGTGCGCACATGCAAGCGACGGCGGGACACAGGAAAAGGGATGCAGGAAGCCAAGAAAGCTTTGGGGCATATGCAACGAGGTGTGTGAGGTGTATGCGCGGAGAGAGCGGGCTCACAACTCGGGAAATAATGTAAATGCGGCAAATTGCCAGGATGTAATCAGTTGGTTTGGGGTCAGTTGTGTAGTAGTGTAGTCCGCAATGTCGAACGTGTTCGAAGGCGGTTAGGTAGGTGGGTAAGGATGTGGGTACGGTCAATTCTGCCAATCAAGCCATTACGCCGTAAGCAGCAAAAGGGGCATTTGCGGGCACTGTGTTGGTTGCCACCTGCATTATTTGAACGTGGCCTCGCTTCTGCACAGCAACAGAGGTTTCAAGTGACTTATCCGCAGCAGCTGGACGATTTCGTGTACCATGTCTATCCATTGTATGTACATAAAGCGTCCGTACGTCCGCCGTACCTTCTGCATCCAGCGGCAGCCCGAGGCCCGCCACAACACCAGGAAAGGCCGGGGAAGTAGTACGGAAGATCCTGCTGGATAAGTTCTCAGAGGCGTTCCGGAAAGCGTCGTTCACCTTCGTGCATGGCATGGATCGATTGTGCAAAATATAAATTGACAGCAGTATTGGCCGGTGCGCCGCGGCATTAACGGCCTAGCTAGCTAGCTAACTTTCTAACCTAAAGCACATTATTACTGGGCACCAGCCATGGTTAATGAACCCGCTTGCGTCCGTCGTCATTTATACCTCCTCCTAGCAATTGTTTCCCACGCTGCCGCTGGACGGACCAACCCACCACATGTGTGAAAGCGACGGCAGCTTGTGTCGGCGAGCGAAGGTCCTTGACACCTACGGACGTCTTAGGCGCCAGCAGTAGCTCCCGCAGCGCACCATCTGCACCCATGGCATGCGTACGCGTTACATGCGCTCGCAGGACATGTGTACATGAGAATACGATGTATACCTGTCGTACCTAAAACCTAAAACCCTATAACACTCTTCGTTTTATATATAAATACGCCCGAAAGTAGTGCTCTGCCTTTATTTTCAGCGGCCACTGATCACTACTGTATCAACGCCCGTATGGGTAAACAACTTACTTACCTTATATAATACTCATTAAGCATTTCTATTACAAAACCTGGTCCATTTGCGTCTTTCTGAACAAGGGGTTATGTACTGATACCATGCATCGATATTGCTGGTCGTGCTTCTGACATGCACAGCAGGTAAGCTAGGCAAAGGAAGCTATAGCCTTGCTAGACGTATTATTTGTGATACGTAATGCTCACTGTCGTTGGGAAGCGCTGCGGCGATGCTGTCGATGGTTTTCTGGCTGGCGCCGATAGTTCGCAGCGCGGACGCAACGGCTTCGACGCCGCTTGCCACCGGTGTGCTTGGGATCAGATCACTTGGCGTGTTGCCGCCGCCAGTCCTTCTGCTGCCCGCGGCCGGCTTGTTGCCATCTCCGGACCTAATAATAGGCTCCAGGTTGATAATGGCCTGTATGCATGCCGCTCCCGGCGACAGCGGGACATCATCTCAGTGCGGGTTTCTGCTTGCACCTTGGGTAGATTCGGACGGAATCGTGGAAACACTGGATTGACACTGACTGCACTGCACAATAATACACCGATGCGTGACTCAAGCATACAACTGCAAGTGTATATATATGCGTGAATGAGTTGTATGCTCGAGTCATGCATCTTCTGCGTACACGCGTGGCGACACCGTTGCGCATGCAACCCATTATCATGCACGTGCAAGTTACTATTGTGCTGCTGAAAAGCAGCCGAAAAGCAACTAATTATGTACATACATACGAAGCCGCCGCAGAGCATCTAAGATTTGCTGCCGCATAAACAATGCCGTTAGACGTACTTTTGCAGACTCACCGGTTTCTGGGCTTGCACTGGCCGGCACATAATCACATAAAGCATAAAGATCGCGCATGTCAGGGTAATCGAGGTCGCCATCGTTCCCTTGGTCCGATATCGCGTGGGGCGCACGGCGGCTTAGCTTATATTTGGATAACTAAAATAAGTTATCCAACAGGTTAAGTATGAGAGATCAAAAAGCTTCTTTATGGTACAATAAAAATGGCCTGCTGTCTGCTCGCTCTGGGAAATTGCAAGTGCGAGCGTGGTGCACACACCGCAGCAGTCTCTCGGACGTGGTATAATTTAATCTGGTGTAAAAGGGGATTTTGCGATTAATCTGGTGTATTGGAAGCAAGGTTTGCAGTGGGCGGGGATGCTTTGCGGTCGCCCCAATAAAGATCACCAGGGTCGCAAAAGGATCACAAGAAGCGACTGAGAGCAGATTACAGGCGGATGGATGCTGTTAGACTTATATCACATGTCGCTGCATGGCAGCCTTGCAGGTTATTATGGGGCCAGAGTTGCATGTGCAAGTCAGAGGCGAACAATTCGTGCGATATTTTGCGAGACAGGCGGAAAGACCTAGGAGGTCGCCTTTCATCATCACTGTAGATAAACAGCAAATTATCGCTCGTCCGTCAGTAGCGTCTGTCATACGTGCGTCTGTCATACGTGCGCATGAAGACGGTTCTGCGTGGCAGCAGATATTTGCACCTATTAACTCCAATACTCCCGTCACTTTACAAATTACCCCTGCAGTTGCCATTTTACAAAGTAGTCCATTACGCATACTGATGCCTTCCTGCCCCACTATGTGGGATTTTAGGTATTAGACGTATTGTCCAACTTTGCCCACACACCTATCACCCAGCCGACACATTCACGCCCAACACCTAGCAAACAACGTTGCCCATACACCCATCCTGCATCCATCCAACAACACGACCTGTCCAAAACCTCGGCCAGATGTATGTAGGTATACGGACAGAACATATCCAGTCAGCTGACGAAACATGACGTACGGTGACGTGCACACAGTTGCGCACAGGTGCAGCACACATTGACAGCCTTGCTTTCTAGAAACGACTTCCCCAAAGTACCATCAACGTTTTTTTTATCTGTTAGCAACTCTTTATTATCATACTTTGTGCAGGGCAGCGGGGCAGCATTAATCCACTAATGTAATTTACACAAGAATGGCTTCGACCCATGCATCATGTATGTACGTAGGGCTGATGATAGAGAAGAGAAGAGCCGGTGCTGGGCAAGCTGCTGCCCATTACAGCAGATTTGTAGCCTGGTCGATTCCCGGTCGAGTTCACGGCACTTCATTTCCAGCGGAGGGTATGTCCACCGTAGCTCCGCTGGCTATGCTGTCGCAGAGCTCGCCGAGGAACTTCTCCATGAGGGCCTTGAAATCATCGACGCTGCAAGGCCCAGCCCCCGTAAGCATGTACTTGCAGTAGCCACGAGCACTCTGCGCGCGCGCGCCAGCAGCAGCAGGAATACATTATCATTATCGAGTGCATGATACCCTTGCCCGCCCGCACAGCAGCAGCAGCTCGCTCGACACCAAGCAAGCCAGGTCTATCTTCTGCCTTCGTAAGGCTCGTACACGCAAGGATTTTCCTGGCGACGTCTATACCTGCTAAATGAACTGATGACCGTCTCTCTCTCTCTCTCTCTCTCTCTCTCTCTCTGAGCGCCTTATTGCTGCTAATGAAACATGCAGATATCAACAAATATGAATGAAAGGACCATCTATCCCTGCCGGCTACTTATTTTATCCCTGCCTGCTACCCGCCGCATGCACAAACGTGCCAGCACTGGACTTGCCTCCGCATAGGCCCGCCCGCCGGTGACGCACTGCTGTTTGGTGGCCGTAAAGCAGTTAACGAACCGCGTCGGGGGTGTCATGTTCGCACCCGACTGCCCGCCAAGGGTCGGTCTGGGGCAGTTGCCATTGGCCCGGGCACATGCGCTCTCCCCCACTCCGCCAGCCACGTCGTCCGACCAGGCCAGGCACTTAGCGCAATTCGACTGGTCCTGCAGGAGGCGCCTGCTGCTGTGCTCACCGCCATCATCACCGATAACACAGCAACGCCGCCGGGGTCGATCACATCCCATCCATCCATAGCAAAGGCAGGGGTGCACATAGGCACGCCGACGAATATTAGTCCAGGGAACAATGACCACTATTTCAAATCCTTGATGTGGGATTCCCTCCTGTCGAAGGGCGCATAGCAAATGGACTAACAGAGTTGCAGACGCAGCATGTGTTCCCACGGACTGACTACAGTAATGATAATCAAGCATACCACCGATAACTATACATCAATTTGTTCCATCCATTCATTTTCACCATGCGGTTCTGTATTCTTGGAAATTTTCTTTCCCACCCGTGCATCCCGGTAAACCCACCTGACGGTGGGATCGGCGCTAATAGCGCTGCTGCTTCCCAGAACCGATCCGACAGCCGAAGTGGCCAATAGCAGCAGCAGCGGGAGGCAGAACATGAGAAGTGCCGCGGAAGGAAGAAAAGCGGGCAGTACCACTGCACGGCGGCCAGCAGCAGCAACAGTGCGGCGGCGGCAGGGAGTTGATGAGGCCCGAAGAGTATTTCTTGAGGGGTGCAACATGGCTCGCAGTATGTAGTGATCAAGCATGCGAACAGCACGCAGATGTGACGGTTTTACTTAATACTTGTAATCTATGGCACCTGTGTCTCTGCAAGAACTCTTGCGTGGCATGTGTCCAGAATAAACATCTCGTTATATTATGGCGGGAGCGGCGGGCTGTTTTTGTTGTTTCGCGGCAAACAGCGATCGTTCGAACGTTGGATTGTCGCTGTCGTTGGATTGGAGGTCGACGGCTTATCAGCAGCAGCTGCTGCCGACGGATGCGCATGCGTCACATCTTCAGCAACGACCAGCCAAGGTTCACAATTTGGATGAACGATGGAACGTTTCCATGGGGATCCGAGGCAGGTACCTAGAGCTCTAATACATTCCTATTCCAAGCGAGCGAGCGGTTCACTCGATTCGGGATAATACGACGGCTTGTTATCCATCCAGGCTCTCAATTGGTAGTCGGCTGGCCGTGGGCCGTCCGTTGTTATCATGAGTTGCTAATACCGCAACCATGAGCGATGGCCGTCCAGACTGCTTGCTATTTGTACGCGATGATTGAGGTCGTGAGGCCCAACGCCCGGATTTCGTCTAGACGATACAAACCTGCGACCAACGTGCAAGACTGGTGCAAAAGCGTAATGTAAGATTACCTGATGCAGTGTAAGGGCTGCTTATCCGAGATTATACCTCGAAGTAACGCGGAGAAGCAGAGGGTTGCAAAGGAGGTCTAATCCCCCAATATCCTGGGGGTGGGTATTGGTCAGCCATCCTCCCATATGGCAGGGGGGCAACCGACTCCCATCCCCCATCTTAAAGGCCGTTGCTAATCCCATCACTCAGACAGGGTTCACCATCCTGCCAGCCAGGGTCCCGTGGGAGAAGCGTTCCCGCTTTTGGCTTAAAGGCGGTTTATTTAGCTACATGCGGAGCTGTAAGCTTGGCTTTGTAAGATAGACATAGACTATACGTGCTCCCATGCGTATGCAGGGCAGAGCGGATTAATGTATTGTATGAATGAATTGTATATGGCGGGCGGAGGCTGCAGCTGACGGAGCTGAGCTGCTGAAGTTAAGGACGTGGCTGCTCCTGCCGGTCGGGCTCCACTGTAACAACTAACTGCTACTGTGCTCTTGTTAGTTCCGGACCTTGGCAATTAGTGCCGGGAAGAGGGATCCTGGATGTGTGCATGGGAGGAGCGAGCGAGGAAGGAAGGAATCGGAAGGTTTCCTGACCCATTGCCAAATAATTTTTATTTGTGCAAAAGATGTGTTGGAGCTAACCCGATAGGAATGCAACAGATTTGCGTCATCAGGGGCCAGGTCACAGGCAGGGAAAGAAGGATGCGTTGAGTCGTCGTTATCGATCAGAGGCGGCAGGGTCTTGCCTTTAATTGTCCACTTGATTAGTCCAACTTGGCTCGCTCAGTATCGATTTGAGTCAGTTCAGCTAGTTGGGACTTTTTAAATTAAAAGTATCTCTGCAACATCGCCCACTTCACTACTAAAACCCGACGACGTATACACCCTCCCGGATGGGGCCCATCTGCTGTGTCCTGCTCCCGCAATCGTTTACTCAATCGTTTCAACACTCCAATCCAAAGGATAAGTTTCAACTAAGCACAGACAATACGGCTTCTTCGAAGTTGCCATGCATATTACACGTATGCAAATCCATTGATGCGCATGCGGACATACACACTCCGATCTACAGACGCACGTATGTACGTACATACGTATTATGCTGTTACAGGGTGGTATAGCTTTACCAGCGGCCCCCTTTCCCGAGGCAGTTCCCTGCTCTCCCCTGCGAGAGGGGCGCCCTAATCCATTCACCCCATTAAAGTTGGCAGGTTTGATGTGGAAGTGGTAGGGCCCTGCTGTAGGGGTGAAAACGTAATACGTAGGGTTGTCCATAATTGGCGTCCCGTATGGAAGGGCCTTCCGCTCCACAGCGTCCTTCATCCTGTTCCTCTGCCGGTGATTGATTTTAGGTTCTCCCCTCGCTCCCATCATTCATCATGATCACCCTCTGCTGCTGAAAGCCCTGCAGTGGTAAGACCTAATATATTATCGGGATCTAGCACACTATTTGTGTTCTGACGAATGGACTATAATAAGTACAGCACCAGACCCCAACAATCCAATATCCAAAACTCCGGTACTCCGGTAACCCTAAGGTCCCATGCTGAAATATGGAAATATGGAAGTCTACCGTTCTAGAGTAATATTATAAGTAGACTACTACAGCCCTATATTGCTTTCACTTCCGACTTGCTCGTCCCTAGCGTGTTGTGATGAGTGCGTCACGTTGTGACTGCTTTTGCGGCACGGGATTACTTGCCAAAACATTGGGATCATGTACCTCACAATCACCCTTTCTTATATGTCAATGACGCAGACATGGTTGCTTGCCGTTTACCGATATACAATGACGAAGTTTGAGGGCGCACGTCGGAGCCTCAATTTTTTGTTTAAGCGTACTAACTGAGGCCGTATGTCCAGTGAAGTTAGTACGGCCTGGCCGAGTTCTTTTTGAATAAGGCCCACAGTGTTGTGCGGGAGGCGTTCCTATGGGCGCTGCACTCGACCCGTTCGGGGTCCACTGTAACAATCGCATCCACGTTGTGGCCGTGAAGGCCCCATATCGGCTCCGGGTGGGGACACTCGGGTATGTAGGGCATGGACACTTGTTAATTTAATCAATGTTGACATGCATGTGTGCTAATGCACTTCAGCCAACGCTCGATTTAAATTGGTTTGTGTAGTGTCTTTCGCCTGCTGTGGCAACGGTTTTTTTTTGCGGAATATATTCCGAATTCGGAATAAAAAATTGTTCGCGGTCCTGAAAATTAAGAATAAATAATGTTCCGACCGTACGAGTTCATTCCTCCAGCCAAATAGGGGGGTCCTTGTGAAGCAGCTGCCCGCGTTTCCAAAGCACGTATGGTGTTGGATTGTAAGGTGCCCAAGTACGTTTGCACGGAAGAGAATGTGGCCAGGCTGGAGAGGAAAGTGCAGTGGCATATTGGAATGTGAGATTAGCGTAAGCGAGTTACAGGGCGTTTGGCGCACGGGCGAATTTACGTGCATACCTTTCACCGTAGCATCAGTCCTCAGTTCACTTTTTGGAACGAACATCAGCATAGGTCCAAGCCCTCTCGCTTGGAGGGATATATGCAAACAAACATCCTGATAGGGGTAAACTTACACGCTACCGAGAATTAACCGAGCACATGCATGCTTAGCTGAATGGTGAGATGCGACCCCCTCTTCATTTCGTGCTCGGCAAGCCTGCCACCGCGTACCGGATATGTTGGCGATGTTACAGAGACGCTGCACCTCGGTTTCTGTGCGCAATGCGTACGATGCTGGACCCCGCCGACCTACACGTGCCCAACTGAAGACATTCCCGGTGGTTGTGCAGCAGCTCTTGCGCCTGTTGCTGGCTGGAATCCATCCTGAGCTGTTGCAACACGGCTAACGCGGGCACGTCCCTATGCACAGCAAATAGCTGTTCCAAGCCAACAGCGGCATCCATGTCACCGACAAGGCTCTAAACGTCTTATCTGTTCTTATGTTTAATTAAGTTGATGTATGTTATACTTTGCGCAACTTTGTAATTTGACTTTACTCTGAACAAGGTGCTGTATACGTTGCACTACCAAAGGCGCGACCGTTTGCTTGCACACAACTGCCTCTTCGCCAGACGCTTCCTCTTCCCGCGGCAGTTTCACGAGCCCAGTGTTGCAAGCTACGACGTAGGCTCTCGGTGCTTTCAGTTACTGCAAAGCAGCCACGCAATAGTCCAGCCTGCATGCCGCGTGCGGCTGTGGCCAACATGCCCACCTGCGCAACGCGCTGGCGCACCTGGTCCTCATCCGCCAAGAAAATTTATATACACTTGTACACGCGCATTTTGCGAATCGCACGCGCGCATCCGCGCGGCAAAATTCGCTCCTGGCTTTTTTGGACGATGTACGAACCGTTTATTCGGCAGAGTACGACCGCTCACATTTGTGCGAGGGGCTGCTTAAAAATGGACTGTTTATGCCAAAGCCGCTAGAATCTTACAGGAGACCTACATGTTAACCATATCATAGTACTTTAATGTCATGGATACTGCTAGGAAGCTCACGCCCGAAAGTCAACGAGGAATCGGACTGTTTCTGACCGGATCAAACGCTGCAAAATATTCGGACCCGAAGCTCCCAAAACGTGGAAGGCCATGAAAGAAGATATTGAACTTCACTGAAGCGATTAGCGACGTTAATGAAGACGGCCTAGAGGTCGTAGGCAATGTTGACCGTTCGTTTCAGGTGAGGGTCGGCGCTTGAAGTGGACCCTTGAACAGGCCCTTAGCTCCCAGGCACGGGGATGTGCACCCAAAAGCATGCGGCAGACCTGCAGGCTGGTTATGTTCATAGCTAGACATTTAAGGGTACAGTCATGAGTGATTTGCCTTAGAGCTGGGTTGAGACTTGGCACGGCTTCATAAAAAGCAGCACTGGGGTTTCATTCGGGTGAAGTTTCACGTGTACGTCCAGATATGGACCGAGCACCCTATCTTTGCACCGAGCGAGTCTTTGCCAAAGTGGTCTTCGGCCTCTGTGCTAGGAGGCTGGCAAAGACTTGTGGCCTCCTCTCTGAAAGTGTCTATTTAGCTTATCAAATTGCACACAGACAGCCGCATTGCGCTGATATCACGATACGCAGTGCCTTGCCGCCCTTCGTTCCAGCAAGCGCTCGCTGTTTGCGCAAGTAAGAGCTAGCAACCAATCCTCCATATCGGCCAAACAAGCAAATGGCGCAAACACTGAACTGTTAAGCGCGATCTTTCGTGCAAGCACGGCGTGTAACGTGCCCATATATAATCTCACCAAAACCTCACCTGCCATGGGACTGCGGCTCTGATAAAGCCCTAAACCCTTTAAACTTCTGCCGGACTGGCACGCATGACTCCAAAGCCGAGGCTCACCCTCGCCCTCATGACTTGTTCATTATTTACACTCGGAACTAAAACATAAGACCTACATGCAATATTGCAACATCTCCCTTACTTTGAACGCATAGACGAAGGTTTTCCAGCGGCGAAACTGAAACCGTGGCGACCTGACAAAGGCCAGTTTAGTAAGCTGCTGCTGTTCCTTTAAAAACACCGCCGCTGGCCGATTCGTAGACGCCACTTCTAAACCAAGTCGGCACCCCCATATGCACAGCATTAAACCAGCCATCCTGTTTCGCAATTTGTGTACGATGCCTGTAGTGGGCAGTTCCGTACACAAGTTTTCACTCACTAGTATAACTTTTGGCTCCCGAAGTGTTGTGGAAGCATCTCCTCCGTCTGGAACGTTGGGTTTGAAGCCAAGTGGTTTGTTTCGTTACAACCATTTCCTTGTTACATATCACGGATAAAATGGCCACCGTACGCCTCCTCTCATTGCTGGTCCTCGCGTTTCTGTGCCAAGAAGGTGAGGCAATCTCAGGTGCATAATCATGTGCGTGCACCTCCGGGGAACAATGTTTTGTGGAGCAGCATATTTGTGTGGCGACGTAGATATGCTGACGGCCTTAGGAAATCGACTTGGAGCTTCGTCAGGTCATCTAGTAGCGGTGCTGGCATTGAACGTGTCTTTGGGGATCGCATTCCTCTGCACAGGTGCCCTGGCTGCAAACGTAACAAGCAGCAAGCCGCCGCTGCCGTCAAACAAGCAGCCGCTTTCGCCGCCGCCGTCAAACCTGCCGTCAAGCAAGCAGCCGGTTTCGCCGCCGCCGTCGACCCAGCCGTCAAGCAAGCAGCCGGTTTCGCCCCCGCCGTCGACCCAGCCGGCAAACAAGCAGCCGGTTTCGCCCCCGCCGTCGACGCTGCCGTCAAACAAGCAGCCGCTTTCGCCCCCGCCGTCGACCCAGCCGTCAAACAAGCAGCCGCTTTCGCCCCCCCCGTCGACGCTGCCGTCAAACAAGCAGCCGCTTTCGCCCCCGCCGTCGACCCAGCCGTCAAACAAGCAGCCGGTTTCACCGCGGCCGTCGACCCAGCCGTCAAGCAAGCAGCCGGTTTCGCCCCCGCCGTCGACGCTGCCGTCAAACAAGCAGCCGCTTTCGCCCCCCCCGTCGACCCAGCCGTCAAGCAAGCAGCCGGGTTCGCCCCCGCCGTCGACCCAGCCGTCAAACAAGCAGCCGATTTCGCCGCCGCCGTCGACCCAACCGTCAAACAAGCAGCCGATTTCGCCGCCGCCCTCGACCCAGCCGTCAAACAAGCAGCCGGTTTCGCCCCCCCCGCCGACGCTGCCGTCAAACAAGCAGCCGCTTTCGCCCCCGCCGTCGACCCAGCCATCAAGCAAGCAGCCGGTTTCGCCCCCGCCGTCGACGCTGCCGTCAAACAAGCAGCCACTTCCGCCGCCGCCGGCGTCCAACAACCAGCCGCCAGTGCGTCCTCCGCCACCGGCACCGGCGGGCAAGCAGCCGCTTCCATCTCCCCCATCACCTCCATTAACGAATAAGGCGCCGCCGCCGGCCCCCAAGAAGTGAGCAGAACGGTAATAACGGTTGTACCGTTGGTTGTAAGGGTTTTACCGTTTGTACGGCACTCCGGCAGCTGATTATGCTGTTGCCTGCACCGATCCTGGTGGCCTGCTGGTAGCTGCTGGACCGCGACGCTAGCGGGGCGGCATGGGCGGTAGTAGTACTGGGGGCCATGGCGATGCAGGGAGAGCTATGTGTGTATGTACGTATGTATGTATGTGCGCGTGTGTGATATGGCTAGTAAGGGTATTGCGGGGTTGTACGAAACCCCAGACATGTGTATCAATATCCCAGTGACACCAGATGCCTCTAATCGAGTACGTGCATGTGCATCTTGACTTGGTCGTGTTATTATTTGTGGTTTTCGTGCGTGGGTGTAGATATCGACTGCTGATTGTTGAGTTTTTGGATTGTGGTTCATTTTTAGGGCTTGGACTTTGTTTCTAATCGTAAAGATGAATTAGGTAAAAGACGCACCGTGATGTGTGAGGCAGGTTTTATGTGGAGCTGTTGTTGCTCGCTTTACACGTGCATGGATTGTTTTTATGGTTTTAGCGTAGCCTACGGGCGATGATGGCATCCATATGCCCCGAACGACGGCGAAGGGTCGTTGTTGACAACAACCCACCTTGGAAGTTTGTACTCGGACCTCATTTGTATTAACACTGCGACCTTTTCCAGTATCAATGGATCAAGTCCTTGTAAGCTCCATCGCAGCTGGCACCAGCGCATGATTTGGTTGGATGCTGGTGGTGAGTTGCTGAACCCAACGAATTCATTCTGAAGTCGGATGGGGTGAATGGATTAGGGTGCCCCTTTCGCAGGTGAGAGCAGGGAACTGCCACGGGAAAGGGGGCCGCTGGTGAAGCTATACCACCCTGTAACAACATACATACATACCTGGAGTTCCAGTCCTGCGGGCATCAGCCCTAGGCAATAGCTAAGCATCACGTCGCCGAAACACCTACCCCTGTCGTCGACATCTAGGAGTAAACCTCTCTTCACTTCGCAAACCAACGTCAACCTGAACAGCGCCCCGGAACCCCTCGGGTCCCATTACTTCTGTCACCGTTCTGCTGCTGGTACGGCAGAAAGGTGTCGGTCATTTTCCCACATCTGGGAGCCACGGGGGTCAGAAATCGGTGGGGGTTAGAGCTCAGGTATGGCTCGTTCGTGTGCCGCCTCAGCTCGCCCATGAACAAGGGAGCTCAAGGTACTATCACCTTACTGGATGTGGATTAGACTCCTTCCCTCGGGATGTGGATATGGATATGACCCCCACTCTGGATAGGGACTTAGAAGTGGTCCACCCTGCTGAGATTAGAGGATGGTTGACCGGTACCCAACCCCAGGATGAGAGGATTAGGACCCCTGGCCTCGGTTACGAGGTACGGAGAAGCTGCGATACCCCAACGTTAAGTAGAGGAGAGACAACGCTCGGGCAATTAGTTGTTGGGATTCAGCGTTATTTTTTTGCGGAACATATTCCGAATTCGGAATAAAACAAGATTGGGTGTCGGCTTCCTTGAAGCCGGAAAAAGGGCGGGGCCCCTCTGCATCCGTACAGGCCGGTAGCAAGGGTGGCAAGTGTGACAATTGATGGGTAATGTCAACATGGTGGGAGGTAGTGTTTGTGTAACGAATGTATTTTCGAGCGATTTCGGGACTATTCCGTGGCACACCCATCGGTTGCTGACCTGTATGTGGTCTACATGCGGCTACAGGAAGCACTCTACTGCCACAAGCTTCATCACGGCACGCTGCAACTCTTCGGAGGCCCCGTGCATTGGCCAAAGTAAATGTACAGACAAGCAGCTTGTGTATTTCATAGAGAAATGAAAGCAAATTATGTTGGCCTGCTGGTGGCCAGTCGGATTGCCCATGCCGGCAAATGGTAACACAAGCTGGGTGTTCAAGTTATCATACGCCGTCATCTCAGAATTCCATTGTGAGATACGCGGCAGCTTTTGGGATGAAATTTAGCGCGAGAGGCGTTGATGTGGCTTTTGAGGTCGGTGAATGGAGGCAGCTAAACTTGTTTGTGCTCATACGGTCTTTGTTAGCTACATGCGAGATACCTTGCAATAGAGAATGCTGTATAGTACCGATAACGCGTTTCAGCCGGGTGAAATATTCTGTTTGGTCCGTTACACACTCAAGGCCTGGGAGTTCGAGTTATCATACGCCGTCATCTAAGAATTCAAATATGAGATACGCGGTACCTTTTGAGATGAAATTTAGCGCGAGAGGCGTTGATGTGACTTTGGCCTCGGTCAATTGAGGCAGCCAAACTTGTTTGTGCTCATACGATTTTTGTTGGCTACATGCGAGATACCTTGCAATAGAGAATGCTGTATAGTACCTATAACGCGTTTCAGCCGGGCGAGATATTATGTTTGGTCCGTTACACACACACACACGGACATGGGCAATCCTACAGGTCGGGGCCCCCCTGGGCGCTTCGCGCTGGGGCCCCGCCCAAAAATGTTCGTGGTCCTGAAAGTTAAGGATAAATAATGTTCCAACCGTACAAGTTCATTCCTCCAGCCAAAAATGGACTGTCCATGCCAAAGCCGCTAGAATCTTACAGGAGACCTACATGTTAACCATATCATAGTACTTTAATGCCATGGATACTGCTAGGAAGCTCACGCCCGAAAGTCAACGAGGAATCGGACTGTTTCTGATCGGACCAAACGCTGCAAAACATTCGGACCCGAAGCTCCCAAAGCATTGAAGGCCATTAAAGCAGATACTAAATTTCACTGAAGCCATTAGCGACGTTAATGAAGACGGTGTAGGGGTCGTAGGCAATGTGGACGCAATGCTGCAGCCAGCCGACGACAATGACGCCACTCCGGTTGTCAACAGCGAGCGGGCCAAACATCAATGTTCCTCATAGGGATACAATCGCGATGGGCCAGGAAACAGGTTGCGCTTGGTGGTTCCGGTTCATTGCTGCTATGCATCATTACTTCTGCAACCTGGAAAGTCGTGTAGTGTTATCTTTCAACGTGATGCAAGACGAACGATGGTGAACGAACTCTATTCGATCAGTGCTTGAGAGATTGGTGTGCGCGTGTTGCGACATTCCCCAAACCCGGCGATTGCACGAACTAAACTGTAACTCACCGGGGGGGGGGGTCGGGGG